AAATCATAAATTGCATATGGAAAAATGTATGAGGACCTACTCAGCTTACTGCGTTTCTGAAAAACAACAAAATATCGTGAAACAAACGATTAAACTCCGTTATCAGTATCAAATTCAATAAGTAAATGAAATAGTAGCTAACAGAACGTACCTTTAATTGTCTTACTTGTTGAAAACAGCGCTATTCATTTTCCAAACGTCTAAGAATTTCACCTAGTTATTTGGTATTATGAAACAGGCTACAGACACCAAATAAATGGATTCAAAAACTTTAAATAGTAATATTAAATCTGAGAAAAATCCGAATACAAAGTTCATAATATTATTCGCAATTCACCATTTAAATGCAATTATGTCGTAATGATCTAATTTTATGATGAGAACGCGATTGGTTCAATCGAAACATTTATCATTATAACCAACTGTACCAGCAATCGTTTTACTGTACCTGTGGACGATCCCCCAAGGGGAGTCGGAAAACCCTGATTCCAAACCAATAGTGTACATGGGCTCCAGCATCCTGAAGGAATGAATGGACCTGTTGTTGGTCACCGGCTACCATGAGACTGCATCTTCTCACGATGCTCCACTGCCTTGTGGACTAGACCTTTAGGTCTTTGGCTCGGGGCGTGGCCCCCTAAGAAAACCACCTGCTTCGGTCTGGGCACCCGGGCAGTATCATAGCCCTCTCACAAATCAAATTTCTGTGGTGCATATATATTCGGTGCCCCTTTGTACCAATATTTATGTGTTTAATCAATACTACTGATACTGGCTTGTGCAAAGATGGTTAGTGACAGTCTATAATTTTGTGTTTTAGGCTATTTTTTCTATCCACAGCGTCTTAATAATTTTGCTTGGAATGAGCACAGAGAGATGAGAGTAGCATTGGTATTTCTTCAAATCCAGATTCGGTTGGGAAAACAGTCAGTAGGACTAGGCACATTTATGCATCGGTCCAAGTTGCCATACCTCGTTAGCACAACAGGATGAAAACAATCTTCACTAACTCACAACCACATCAAGTACATCGATATGAACAACGGTATATTTTCTTGTCTTTGATAGCTGAATGCGCGAAACAAGATAGTGATCACTTTGCTTGATGATATATCCACAATTGTTGCAGTTTGCTTTATAGATCAAGTTGAGCTGTTTTGTTACTGTATTGAGTTAGGTATAGTTTAAAGAAACTTTGCTGATAAGTAAGCTACACTTGTTTACCAAGTCTTCAATAAAAAACGATTAGACGGCCTGTTGTTCAACATTTACGCATTTCTCCTGGTAAGGAATCATCGGTGAATTTAACAAATAACCAGATGGTTTATCTTAACCATCGTTAACAGGTCAAAATTCTATTATCCTTGCTACCGTCATATCGTACACATAAGAATCAAAACTGCAATGGTAACACTGGTTTTTGTCATTATTTCCGTGGAATCTTCAACTAAATATCTGAAAAAAATTATTCAGAGAGCGAACTGTATGTACACTAAGACCAGAAAAGGGAATAATTCTCTCCTGGTTCTCTTTTATACATTCCATTAATTTTAAGTAGTGATTCATTTTCACTCTGTTTCGCAATTTAAGAATGATCGTATGTTACTAATTTCCACTCTTCATCTATCCCGTTACCAATTAATATTAGTGATATGGGTATTTTACGTGTTCATCTTATTACAGATAAACGAAGTAAAGGAACTGAATTAAAGTTAATTTTGTCTACACTTGGGAAAAACATTAATCCTAATGTCTTTTGAAGTGTTGAAAACGAAAGAATGACAAAATCGTAGTGTTTACCGTGCAGCAAATAGGGATCAGAATAAATCTTCAAGATTCTTGATAGACATGATGTAACAGTCATTTTCCATCCTCGTGATATCAACATGTCAGCACTGGTGACATTTAAGTGTAGGTTGCTAAGAGAATAACAACAAGACTATGAGCATGAAATTAGGCGTTATGGGTGTATTTCAGTATATGTGGGAAAAACACTCAAATGGCTGAATGTGAGGTCAAAGAGACAGATTACGCGGATCACTAGTGTAGGTGATTTATTCGAATGATCAGGGTCTATTTGAATTGGACGGGAATGATGTGAGATTCTCGCCTACGTTGAAATCACACCTTGTGGTAAATACCGACGTGAATTATTTTGCGGTGATAAACAGACAAATTGGTTTCCTGGCTAAAGTAAATCTGTCAGAGTAAATTTACGATTAATTGATCACTGGATAGTGACTATTGTCATGTACTTAAGTCCTTTTTAATGTGGATAGAAATCTGCCGACTAAGTTTCGATGTGGTCACTAGTCTCGGCGATTCGATATCGCGTGCGCTATTTTGAGATGTAAGGTAGTGGTTGGAGGTAGTCGGTTGGAAGCCCTGTACCTGGACTTCGTGCTATTCGGTGGTCGTCAGCAAGATTTGCCTGCAATCTGGATGGAACTGGTGTTCATTGACGGGTTCGGTCCCATGTTACCCGGCTTCTCAACCATAAGCGTTAACAGTGAGCTATCCGGGCCGCGACTGACCTCCAGTAGGACCGAGATTTATTTAAAATTGACTGGTTAGCCACCAATGTCAGGTATTTTAGGCTTTTAGAATCAATAATCCCAACTTCTAACAGCATATTTTGGTGTGCAGTCTAGAACCTTCGAATTTAGGAGGAGGGACTTCACATTATAATTTCACAGTTTAATTGTAAGCGTTTACTAATTACATAAGATTCGATAGGTCGCGACATCTGTTGTCATCAGTAAGTACGCACCTCAACCTTCTACCTCATTGACCACGTCAGTCAAGAATTTTCAAAAGATCTCTCGGAATTAATTTCATATCCCATACTGCTCAGCATAGCAATAAATTTGAAGACTGATATTTGTAAATACGTCAAAACATGGGATCGATCTCCTCAGTCGTTTGCTCGTTCTCCGAGCTTGTAAGGATCGCAGACACCAAGTAATATAAATTGTAAGCAATGCCTATTGATGTAAATGCATTTAATATTTTTTTCATTCAAAATGTTAAATTGGCCGATAAATCCCATAAAATTCATCAGTGTTTTGTTCTTCTTTTCTTCTGAATACTTTTAAAATTATTTTTTCGGACTTTCCATTGCTATTGGTGTTACTGTTTTCCCCATCTTTGTTTTTCCTCAACATTCTGATTTCAACTTTGAAAAATTGTGCCGACACACGGTTTCGTGAGGTTTCACATCGTTTATATCTAATTATCTTTTAGTGGTCAGTAGATTACTATTTGATTTGCAAATCATTGATCAAATGCTACCCGACCGTTGTTAATAACTTGGCGTTGTGGTCGGGCTTGCCTATCGTGATGAACCAATCGAGCTATACTGGCTGGAACAATCCCTCCTCAAGGTCCCACCATGCTAGACAGGTCGGTTGAAGAGCGGTAAGACTAAAAGCAGCAAACCAAAGGTCCGAAGGCGAAGTCGTACTGCCGACTGTACAGAGGTGTGACGGCAGTAAGGTGTTTCCTTCAGACAACCAGCATAACAGCGATGCTACCTTCCCACAAGGAGGGGTGAGGTTAGAAAAGGTCGACCCTAAAAATGCACACCTCGCCTTATCCCACGGACATCCGTCTCCGGCGGTAAGGTCCAAACGAGTACGGAGCTAACACAAAAATTACCCACAACAAGGTCCTGTGTGACCGACCTCAAGCAGTTGTCCCTTGGGCACTGCGGTCACGCTCTCAGGTCACTGAGACCACTTCTAACCCAATTTTCTTTTTCAGGCACGTCTATAAGAACCCTTCCACGGTGTGAGCAACCAAGGAGTGACAACTGCCCTCATACCTCTAACAGCATTCATGATCAAATGCTAAGTCACCCTTCACTGTGGTCTTGTGGTTAAGTAGCGGTAGGAATTAAGTCAAGTTGGGAAGTTCTAACGATCGGATTTTGATTTGGTAGCTATTTGGTATCATATGCGTTTCAAAGGTTTGAAGGCTACTTATTTGGCCTTGGGTGTGGGGAATCATTCATAGATCCTTTAGTTGATATCAACCTGTGATAAGAGCACTGATTGGCTACTTTTTCAAAAGCATTTACATTCACACTGAGTCTATCAGTACTATAACTTAATGAGTCACAATATTTCTCATCATAGTTGTTTATTAATACAAAATGCTTAACTGTGAAGTTGACAGAATAGTTAGGTCGCTTCAAACGTACGTTACCAATATAATTCTATTGTCCCTATTCTTCAGCGGGAATGTAAAGCATGTGAAAATTAACTTTGATGAAAAATCATAACTAATGAATACAACAGAAATAAATAGTTTACAAGTACTGACAACTGTGAGCTTGGTTTACGGTTACCGAAATACAGGTTCTTAGTCTGTGAAAAAGACGATTTAAAATCTACTTTACAATTAAAAATATAAATCGAATTGACCACTATATTAGGTAAACTGATCCGTCGTGGTGATTTAAAAAAAGTTGAGTATTGCCGAGGAAAAAACCTGAGGAAATATCGCTTATTAATAAGTAGTGTGCAACTGTTTGATATCAAAGTAATCAAACAACCCCTGGCTTTCATTTCTCTTCCTTTAAACATCACTTTATTTTTGTTTTAAATGATATGGGATACTTTTGATTGGTGGGACGAACAAATTAGTCATTTTGCATATTCTGGATGCTAACTTATTAAACAAAGGCTTAGTAACCCATTCCATCCTCCGTAGCTAACCTTATTTTCAGAGACTATGACGTATCCTGATGTCTTTTTGCGTTTCTAGCTATAATCTATAAATTCACTGGATTCTTTAGGCTGACTTACGTTTGAGTGTTTGATTAACTCCAATAATTTGAAAGTTATGCACGTTTTAACTACGGGTAACATAATTAATGGTCAGAGACACGTTATTACATTTAAACAGTTCTCAATTTTTTACAATCATGATTTAATGGAGCCATATAAAAATTTCGTGGATCGTTCTACTTACGTCATCATGTTGTTGGTAGGTATTTGTCATTTACGCCGATATTTTTCTATTTCCGTTTTAAATGCACTGGTTTGTTCTTCAAGTTGGTTAGCTAGTTCTTCTGCTTCCTTTCTCCATTGTGACGTTAACTAAGTAATGATCATAATAAATGTATTTGACTATTCTTTCAAATATTATCAAACTATAAACAGTATGCCAAAACTTAACTATACTGATCAGAAATTACTGAGAATAGTTGGATCCCAAGAACGTCTGTTTTGGTAGTTAGTATCTCACGTTTCTGATGAGACTTGGAATAAAATTATTATTAACTAATTTTATTTCTACAGCCTTCAAGGATTATTTTCTTACAGTAGTTTCCTTTTGATATGTTACCTTACCTTTATTTCCTAGGATATCGCAAATATATGTACACGTAATAGATGCTTTTCTATCCTACCAACGTGTAAACTCAGTAAAGTTTGACGTAAATACTTGAGTTTTTTCTCCAAATTATTTAGAGTTACGTTATTCAGAGTGAGAAAGCTGCTTACTTTTGCTGTTCAGAGTTGTCAGTCTTGTCACTAATGTGCGTCGGAAATATTCTGAAGGTCATACTACTGAACCCAACTGTAGGTTCTATCTTGATATAGCGGTCAGGCTTGCATATCATAATGAACGGATCGAGGTATATTGGATGGAATACTAGTTCCTTTAGGTCCTACCATGTAAGACGATTCGGTTGAAGAGCGATAAGACTAAAAGCAGATGTTTCGTAGTCCGAAGGCGAAGTCATACTACTGACTGTGGTGGAGTATAGTAACAGTTTCCTCTAAAGAAGCAGTATCTTTAGCGATACTCCCTCCATATAGTGAAGCGACTAAGTTGGAAAACGCCAATGCTAAAACTACCAGTACTCGAGATCACTTGGTATTAGTACCTTATGAAACATGTCTTGTTGAGTGTTTTCTAAATTAAACTTTTCAATTTAAATGTGCAAAATAACTATCATATCCCCCACTTTGTGGAGAGTGGGTTACGATTAGACTAAAAAAATTGCTTATCTTCCGGGTTTTTTTAATAATAGAAAATTATCAACTAGATTAGGAAAATGATGTGTCCGGAAGGTATTAATATTAAGCAAATTACTTGGTAGTTCCTTTAGTGCGACATACTTTAGATACATTTTACAATGAATTCTAATGATTGAATACTTACTGTTTTTTAACAAATATGTTCAAAGGCTCAGGAAACATTTTGTTCAATCAGCGTTCACTAGAAGTTTTGCCAGAAACATCACAAAAGTGAAAAGTCACATGTAGAGTTTCTAATTGGCTGATTACTTTGCTGCTACTATGTTTAGTAGCATTCCAGAGTTTTCGGGAAAACTTAAGGACTTCTAAAATGCTATAAAAACCCTGTATTTTCTGTACATAAATGAACCTTTGGAGTAAAGTGCTTCTCGCGTATTCTGTGTCTTTTCTCTCGTATTCAAGTGGCTGTGTATATTTAGCTTGGGGGTTAAGAAAATAGCTTAGGAACGGATTATAGCATTCAATTAGCAAGATTTATCAAAAACAACTATTATTCACTTACTATTTGTTGCTTATTTAACAGATTACGCCAATTTTCATCTGTTAATTTGTTTACTTTCTCAAGTGTTTCGATCTTTAATTTATACTCAACTTCTTGCATTTTCATTGACTGTTTTATTGACGTTATTTGAACTTGTGCACTTTTTTGCACAGCTTCTAACTGTTGTTTAAGACTATTCAATTGAAGTTCAGAATTGAACAAAACTTCACTTTGTTTATTATAATGGTTTTCTTTTTTTTGCCGTTGTAATTCAGTATATTCAAAACGTTCCGCAAGAAATTTGTTCTAAAACAACAAAGTAATTATATATGAATCATGATTTTAATGAATTCAGTTCGAACCAAAACACCAACATTGGTATCGATACCTACAAACTAAATGAACATTTCTGTGGGAGATTTAGAAATGTGTTGATGATTATTATTAATTAGGTATTGTAATTCTTTTTACATGAAAATGAATGACTAACTATTGTAAAGTTTTGAAATATAATTTTCAGAGCAATACATATAACAATGAACATATGAGTGCCATGCAAATTATTATCGCTAAAAGTTGAAGATCAGCTAGGCATTCCATCGAGGAGGATTTATGCAGCATTTGATAACGACTCTGAGATAGTAGAGAAGCTCCACAACCAAATCATCCAGCTCAGAGAACAAAACTCCATTAAAATAACGACTCTTGAAATTAAATACAATATCCATAAACAACTTGATGGGCAGATTGAATTTCGAAAAATCTGACTTGGTCTAATTTGTTTGTTTTGAGTTATAACATATGTTAACAGTATCAAAGGGACTCAAACAAAACTAAGTGCTGTCCATAATCACAAGCCTTATACTCAGATGTACTTCAGTAATTTACAGGAACTTACGTCCATACATAGATGGATAGGTTCATAGAAATTATGTGATAGATATATCAAAGATATTACACATAGATTATTCATGTAACTGTCTCAGTAGCTGAAATCAAACATTGTCAAGATTCCTCTTGTTTTAAAAAGAAATAATATGTGGTTAATATACTCTGACATTCGTTCAAGTTTTTATGTTTACCAAGTTTAACTTGTTAGGAACGATAGTTACCTTTTCATTTAATTGTTCAATTTCCATTCGTTTAGATGCAACTAATTTTTCTTTGTTGTTACATTCAGTTTCCAATCTTAACTTCAATTCATCGCATAAACTCTCAGCGTGTATAGCACGTTTTTTAAAAGTATCCAACTGACAATCCGGTTTCAAATCTCCTGGAGAAGTATTTGCATTAAGAGCAGATTTACATTCACTATTTATATCATTGATATGATGACCAAGATTGTTTGTTTTATGAAATTCTAATTGAATGGCCAATTGACAACGTTCCTATACATTAGAAAAAATTACTGAATGATAATGACGATGTTAATAATCAACTTGATGATTACAATGCAGTTGCTTAGTTTATACCGCTAGTGAATATAGTACAATTCAAGCTTAAATCACCTTTCATATAATAATCAATCTCAGTTTTTAGGAAGCCAAATGAACTTTTATTTCTTTATATCACGTGAAGTAGCTGTCTACTGAAAGTTACATCGAGCTCACGGGACCGGGGTAAACGAATAAGAGAGCAATCTTAGATTAACTTGAAACTATGTTTTAAAAGTTAAAATAACTTCATATCTACCAGTATAGTTTGTTCGCTTGAAAAGGGAACTTTATGAAAAAAACAAAATGTAAGAATAGGTTGGTTATCTCGAAATGTAATTAATTATTTGATGAACATCGATTGATTTTCGGTTAAAGAACACCTTAAAATAAAACTAGACATCATTTAGACTTTGACGAATGTTTGTATCATGGATTTTGTAGGCATTATCTCGTGTCGTCTTTATTTGGATTAATGTATTACAAACTGCAATATTTCGTAGAGCATACGTATTATTCCATCACTTAATTGCTAGTGTAAATTAATGACAATTTGAAGATAATTAACAGGGAAAACTGACTTTAACTGGTGAACTATTAAAAACCTGGAAACATTGAGTTGCCGCTTTGTATGGGACTCCTTAGTAGAAATAATCATTTATAATCTTGTCGAGTATAGAATCCAGTATATTCAGCTTTTGCCGTGAGTCCACTGAAGTCCGTAACTAATAGTTGAGATTTTCAAACATCAGTCAGTTCGTAAAACTGAGTGTCCTACAACACTGGGTTCGATTTTTGAAAGGACTACCGATAAACATTACCAATGATACCAAGCCTAAAAGAAACGGGTTTTCAGCTCTACTTCATCTTCAATGCTTTTCTAACTGACATAAGTTCGTGACTAAATATATAGATATATATAATCTACACTAAATTATTTGAATGTAATGTCACTTGCAGTTTACCTTCTCAATATGGTGCAGTTCACTTAGTAAATTTTCAATATTTTCATTAGCTTTCTTTTCTATTTTATCTATTTCTTCCCTTGTACGTTGACCAGATTCTTCAGTTAATTTATCAATGACAAGTTGGAGTTGCGAAAGTTCATTTTCTGCATTTTCTCTACTTTGTATTGCATCATCACGCTCGTTAGTTAATGTTTGACTTAAAGATATTAATTCTGCAACCTGTGATACAAAAAATGTTTGTACAATTTTCTCTAAATAATATATTATGCTAATCATACTTTGTCCACATAACTGTCCCTAGTTGACTTAAAATTTCATCGAACTGGAATTTCAAAAAATAATGATTGAAATTCCTATCGAAAATCTTGGTCGTGAAAAAGACTAGTAACATCTGGGCTACTGATATGGTTCTTTACCAACCCATCTTTCCTAACTTTTGGTAGTTGAGCCTCACGCAGTTTAATTATCATTTGTTGAGTCTATTTGCTATACAAATAAAAAGTAGAAATAATGGTACTTCATCATGTTAGCCGCTTTCATTTTTGAATGATTATTAACTGAGTGAAGTGCGTTAAAAAGTGCCTACAATTTGATTGACATTATTTGGATCAATACTCAATCACATTGGAAATGAAATCAAGTTAAAAGCTACCCTTTCTAGATATACTAATTACCACAAAGTTAGAAACTCAAAAACTAATACATATAGACCGAGTCTTGTATTACGCTATCGATAATGCACCGACTCGCAAAACCAGTTGTGTACTTATTGTATTGTACTTATTTTATTTAGAAAAAAGGAGGCGCACTATGCTATTCGTCTTTTATGGAGAAAGTGAGAGAAACGGATGTCTGGCAGCTGTTTTCTCTTGAAAAAAGAACTACCCATAAATTTACCAAAATATTCCTATTAAGCTCACAATGAGTTACAAAGTCTCGTGTACATGGTAGTGGTCAAATCACTATTCTGTACGAAAAACTCATGAAGGATTGCAATTAAATAACTGAGCTTTATACAGTAACGAAATAATTGCAGCATGTATTATAGAAGACTTAGATACAATAACAGAGAAAAGAAGCAAGACTTGATCTAGTCTTGTGTGTAGAATCGTGGATACACTTTGCTGAGGAGTCCTTTAGTTAAACGAAACGGCCGTCCAGTGCTTCCAGATTTACAATAAAGGTCTAGCCTAGAGTTACTCGTGAATTCAACAGTTGAGAACTCGATCTATTAAAGAAACTCCTATTACTGCAGAGAACGCGACGGCGAATAAATTATTTCCTTTTTATTACCCAATAAATAGAATGTCAGCTTAATTTAGCTTGGGAAATCACTGTAGGATTGTGTTTTTGAAATTTTATTTCTTTGGCCCTACAAAATATTCCTTCAGTACTATAAACCGAAGTGATTTTATCTATTCTTAGTTTATGGTCAATATTATCTCCAAACAATTACTTTAGTAAGCTTAATTAGGTTTGTAGTGTTGTTCTTGTAAAGAGAATAATACTTAGCGATTTCATTTGTAATAAGTAACCCATGGATTAATTATGAGACTACCTACTTAAGAGCAGACGGCCGTTTAATGGGTGCAAATAAAAAAGATGGATGGTAAATATAATTTGAATTTTTCAGTTTTTGTATTGAAAAGTGGTACAGAAAACGATGTTCGTTTAGTGAAAGTAATAAAGTAGTCAGTGTTATTCAATGTAAGCTGACTTTTCATAGTATGCTTCATAACTTTTATCTATCATTAACCGTTGTTCATTTATTGATATTACCGCCTACCTTATGTAGCGCATCCTCAGTTAGTTGATTGGATCCATTGTATTGTTTTTGAAGTATAGAATACTTGTGTCGTAATTCACCAAGTGATTTAATGGCACTTTCCCCACGTCTACAAATCTCAATTAATTCTCTCTAAAAATATAATAAAATTCCAGTTCAGTTGAACGTATAATTTTTCGCATATACAGCTTTATTTGTAAATATTAAAAGTATAGAATATGTTCGAGTAAATACCTTTATAAGTGACATCTACCTTCTGATTAAAATGAACTGCACAGTATCTCAGTTTAGTTCCATGAAAGAAGTGTGGTCAACCGCCTAGTCTTTAAAATTCTTTTTCAAGGTTTTACTAGAGTAGTCAAATATTCCAAGCAGAAAAAATGTACATTTCATCCTTGATACTGATCAATAATGAAAAACAAAGATCTTATTTACTTTTAATAAACCAGATGATTTCCATCTCTATTTTGATATTTGTAATGGTGTTACAGAAATCACCAATCATTTCTATGAGAGTTCCAATCAATCTGTATTCTTATCAAACTATCAACAACGTGATTCTCATAAATATGAGTATTAACAATCTGAATGGTACCCTGAAGTTTAAGGTGACGAGTTTTTGATTCGTGTTTCAGTGTGAACATCATAACTGAGATGCAAAACATCAACATAACAAGTTTCAAGTAGAATGAAGTGTACGTTCTGGGTTCAACATCTAATCACTATCTAATATGTGACTAGTCACGCAATAAACTTCCACTTTTTTTTTGTTTTACTCTTCCTAGTTGTAGCCAATAAAAAAGCTACCTATTGGATAGTAAAGTAAATAGAACAATACAAACAATTAAAACCGATAAAAATCAGTCACTTCAAGTGGGTTGATTAATTAGTTGTAGATGAGTAACTTATCAGTTTTTTATAGCTAATTTAATACCTAGTAGATAATAAGTTCAACAATCCAAGCTTTGAAAAACACTCATAGTTTTTAAATTGTAGATGATACGTTTATTAGTACTAGATGTAATTGTTAACGTGAAAATGTAAACAATCGAGTTGAGAACAATTTCTCACATAGCTTGGTTATTTGTATTAACTTGGATCGTAGATTCGTCTGCAGTCAATATATTGTTAGTCTGTAGGTGTATAAACTTCGTTAATGTGATCACTCTATCTCTAACATTGCTTATTATTGTCAATATCGCGTAGCAAACTGAATATATAATGATATAATCCCTGAATCCTATTTGGCATCAACATTAAATGTTTAGAAATTCATAGGGACGTTTACGACTAGCTTTACACAAGATTCCTTTTGTTTTACGCGATTTCAAACGTAAAGCTTCACATACGTAGTAACATGAAGGCAAATATTTTCTGACCCTTAATCGTGAAATAGCATAAGAGTGTATGAAGGTAGAGTAGAAGATATTTACCATATTAAGTGTCCTTCAAACTGGTGATAAATATATTTTGCATCAGTATCAATCATTCTGAAAGATAAATACTCGATAACTCTTATTTTTGTCTTAAAGTGAATCAACTGCAGAGTGTCCACATTTCTAAATAAAGATTGCAGACAATTGGTTTTTTATGCAAGTGTTTAGACGAGTGGTAGCTTACTACGTAACAGCGACTAAATTAAAATTATAAGTCCGGGATAAATTACATAATGTAAGAATGTTTTGCAAGTTATGAATGCTTTCAGTCTGATGTAATAATCCTCCGGTTTAAGTTGATTCTATGATATCTTTATCACAAGGTAATATCAGTCAAACAGACACTGAAAAATAGGGAAGGGCTGTATGGATGATTCTTTATGGACTGAGACTCAGCAACGTAAAGTTAAGAACGTACAGGGATCAGAAACGAGGTCCTCAAATCTAGCAACAAGCACAATAGCAATCGGCCAGTGAATCGAAATACAATGACCCACATTTTCCAACTTCAATTAATTTCTTATTCAAAATGATATCGATCCAATATCACCAATGGATTGTTGTTTCACTGCCGACTTAATTAACTCTACAAATTACAGCTCCAACACTCAATGACAGAATATTTTATAATATTATGGATGTCATTCAACATCATAGCCAAAGTCCAATCATTATATATTAACAATACTGGCGCAGTTAACTCCGCCTGTAGTTCCTCTGGGAGTTGCTGCCGGTCCCAAGCCCGGGTATGGTAGGTGGGTTGGGCATGGGGTTAGCGACCCCATCCCGTAGAAAATCAACTCCAGAAAAGCGCAAAATGCACTTATATGATGGGAATCTCATGGATCAAGGATCATTAAAGCCTCCTTCAAAACAAAGAGAGAGGGCATTGCAGTGAACGTCATACAATGCTATGCGCCGACCAACGACTAAGATGAAGACGCTAAAGACGATAGGCTGCAGTCGATCTTCGAGAAGTGCCCAACCAAGGACCAAGGACCGGCGCGGACAACATCACAAAAGTTTAATACTGCCTTTCTTCGAGATGCTGACAAACTCAACAAATTCAACATAGCCCTCAGCAACAGGTTCCAGGCCTTTCATGATCTACTCAATGGAGAGGGAACTACCATGGAGAGCAACCGGAAAGGTATCAAGGAGGCAATCGTTTCAACGTGTCAAGAGGTTCTGGGCCAAAAGAAGCACCATCACAAGGAATGGATCACTGTTGGTACACTGGATAAAATTGAAGAAAGAAGGAACAAGAAGGCAGCAATCGATATCAGCCGAACAAGAGCGGAAAAAGCCGAGGCACAAGCCGAATACACAGAGGCAAACAAGCAAGTGAAGAGGAGCATCAGAACCGACAAACGTAAATATGTGGAAGATTTAGCGATGACAGCGGAAAAGGCTGAAAGAGAGGGAAGCATGAGACAACTGTATGATACAACAAAGAAACTTGCTGGAAATTACCGTAAACCAGAAAGACCAGTGAAAAGCAAGCAAGGCAAAGTAATCACCGACATTGGAGAACAGCGAAACAGGTGGGTAGAACACTTCAAAGAACTCTTGAATCGACCAGCCCCACTGAACCCACCCAACATCGAAGCAGCACCCACAGACCTCCCAATCGATGTTGGCCCACCAACAATTGAAGAGATCAGCATGGCCATTAGACAAATCAAGAGTGGCAAAGCAGCGGGACCAGAAAACATCCTGGCAGAGGCACTGAAAGCAAATGTAGCAGCAACTGCCAAGATACTACACATCCTCTTCAGTAAGATTTGGGACGAAGAACAAGTACCAACAGACTGGAAAAAAGGACTTCTGATCAAAATACTAAAGAAAGGTGATCTGAGCAAGTGCGACAACTACAGGGGCATCACTGTTCTCTCAATACCGGGAAAAGTCTTCGACCGAGTATTGTTAAACAGGACGCTCAACTTCGAGATCAAGAAGCTGGATTTCGTAAGGATAGATCGTGCACAGATCAAATCGCAACTCTACGTATCATTGTGGAACAATCAATCGAATGGAATTCATCACTCTGCATCAACTTCATCGACTACGAGAAGGCATTTGATAGCGTGGACAGGACGACACTATGGAGGCTTCTTCGACACTACGGCGTGCCTGAGAAGATAGTCAATATCATACGGAACTCCTATGATGGACTAAACTGCCAAATCGTTCACGGAGGACAACTCACCGAATCGTTTGAAGTAAAGACCGGTGTTAGGCAACGTTGCCTACTCTCACCCTTTCTCTTTCTCCTGGAAATCGACTGGATCATGAAGACGTCAACGACTGGAGGAAAACACGGGATACAGTGGACAGGCAGGATGCAACTTAACGATCTTGACTTCGCGGATGATCTGGCTTTTCTAGCACAAACGCAACAACAAATGCAGGGGAAAACGACCAATGTAGCAGCAGTAGGTCTCAATATAAACAAAGAGAAAAGCAAGACTCTTCGATGCAACACAATATGCACCAATCAAATTACACTTGACGGAGAAGCTTTGGAGGATGTGGAAACCTTTACATATCTAGGCAGCATCATTGATGAACACGGTGGATCAGATGCAGATGTGAGGGCGAGGATCGGCAAAGCAAGAGCAGCATACCTACAACTGAAAAACATGTGGAGCTCAAAACAAATGTCAAACAACACCAAGGTTAGAATTTTCAATACAAATGTCAAGACAGTACTTTTGTATGGGGCGGAGACGTGGAGAACTACGAAAGCCATTATCCAGAATATACAAGTGTTTATTAACAGTTGTCTAGGCAAGATACTTCGGATGAAATGGCCAGACACTATCAGCAACAAATTACTGTGGGAGACAACATACCAGATTCCAGCGGAGGAAGAAATCAGGAGGAAGCGCTGGAAGTGGATAGGGCACACTTTGAGGAAATCACCCGATTGCGTCACAAGACAAGCTTTCACATGGAATCCTGAAGGTCAATGGAGAAGAGGAAGACCAAAGAACACATTACGCCGAGAAATAGAGACAGACATGAGAAGAATGAACAAGAACTCAAAATACGCGATTATGGAAATTTATTAGTCGCTATGAGTACAGAGATGAAAGTGAGACCATTGCCGGATGGTCCCTGATATATGATTAACTGATGTGTGTTGATTGTCTTTGAAGTTGATGAATATCGATGAACTGTTTGTCATTCAGTGACTCAATTGCCAGATGATTTGGCTAGGACTCAGTGACATTTCACTGGCCTAACAGATTAGGCTGGTTAGTAGTTGAGAGGGATGCATGATACGACGTACCCACTCTTGATCTGGTGTGGATGCGTGAATGAAATCCCTCAGCTAGATGTCCCCATTAAAACTAATGGGGTCAGCATCAAATGTCGAGGCCTTGCAGAGCTACTGATTTTAGGGATTTATTTCGCGCCACAACTGTTGTCTGAACAGGTAATAACTGACCACAGCTACTTATATGCGTAGCGATTCGCGTCTAGCCAAAAATTACTTTTTATGCTGAAGGAGTATGCAGAGTAGCGTGAGTGGATAGGACTGCAAAAGCTAAAAACAAAAAGAAAGCTGAGTCGATAGTTCAGCAATCCCATACAATGCACTTATATTTATAACTAAATCAATCAATAACAATCACAACTAACAGAAGCCTCAGATTCAGACAATCTTGGAAGCGAATCTAGAAGCAGACACTTTAACTTGCTGCGATATGCACAGTCGAATATATTTGTTGTTCGTGCCACACTTGATCATTGTACAAAACGTGCTTCCATGTGCGCAAGGTTTGGAATTGCAAATGTCCGACAAAGTGAGTAACTTTAAAGTATAGCAGTATTTGAAGTTTTTTTGCGACCTTTTATATCGTTTATCAAGTCGTTTTTTGGGAAAGTGATAGTTTCCATTTATGGATCGGCTGTAGTTTAAAACTCGGAGATAAATATCCTCAAGCAGCTAAGTCAATGTCAATAAAAATGAAAAATTTTGAAATTAAGGCAATCTTTTTGGGAAAAGTTCGTTTTAAATTCAGACGAGAGTGCAGCCTTGTGGAAGTAGTCTCCTTCTCATAACCTCATTCAGGGATACGTTTCTTAAAAATGACACTCATGACTCATTTCTCACAAACTGACATCGGGAGGTCTCTTATCTTATGAAAAGTTCACCACATAGTATATTTCTCGTCAAAATGTTTGCATGGTTTGTCACTTATTCTACAAACCTTTACAGAGACTGTCTGTCTAAACAGGTTGTTTTATATATAACAATATATGTTGTAAGCGGTTTATATATTTGCAAGCATTTTCTCAGTTTACAGAAATATTAACAGCACTGAAGTATCGGTTACACATCTTCGTTGTCACTGACAGCCATAAATTTACTCAACTCCGACATGTTTTTGAAGTAGCATTTCATGCTTAGTTTACTAATCAAGAATACTCGTTTAATTATTTAAACATACGAACATTATTATAAGAAGGCACCAAATAGACATGCGCCACATAAATAGTTCGGTTTGTGTGAGAACTCGGATATTACCTGAGTACCCATACCGAAGTAAATAGTCTTCTTAGGGGATCATATTCGGAGCCTTCAACTTGAAGATCTGATCCACATGACAGTGGAGCAACGCTCGGAGGTGCAATCCCATCATAACTGGTAACCTTCAGGATACTGAAGCCCATGTGCACCATTGGTTCTGAATCACGGTCTTCCAACTCATCTATTTGAACCCTCCGTATTCACCAACTTGGTTAAAGCGTCGAACATTCGTTTTTCGTCCTCTCAAACTCGTAAACAACATCCTCACCGCGAGAAGGCAATAAATAGGTCTTCCCTGGCAGTGGCTGTGTACGCGTGGCCATGTGAGAGCATTTCGAGAGGGAGAACGGACTCCCCACCCTTGGTCGTACCAGAGCATTTGGGGGAGGCATGATAAAATAAGAATAATGGATATAAATTCATGTATCAGGGGAAGCAGTCTAGTTAACTAAAATACATTCAGAAAGGATTCTTCCAGTTAGAGAATTTACTCTCACTTTTGTGAAACGTAAAAGAAAGTTGCAACAGGATCTCCCCTGGCTTCTCTTTTGAATAATATGTGATTACATACCGAACCACTGTGTTGCACTATCTCTAGGAGCCCAACTAAGTTGTGAAGGTCCTACAGATCCCAGTCATGTACAGCTTTTTCTCACACTACAAAACCATTTCATATACTGACCACCTCTCTTTTCCCAAGCAGTCCCAGAGCCGGTAAATAATGCATGATGTTGAATTTGTTGTGACAACATTCGTTGTACATGTCCATGCCAGTGGAGTCGGTGTTCAAAGATAGTGACACCAATTGAACTATCATCACTGTGCCCAAACATTGTCGAACCTCTGAATTATTAACATGGCATTGCCACTGTCTGTCAGCAACATTTCAGAGACAACGATGATCGAACACAGAGAGTCGTCCAACCTCCTAAACTTGGAGAGGCCAGGTTTCACAAGCATAGAGCAAAACTACCTTCACAGGCGCTTCATAGATCCGACCTTTTACAGCCAGACTACGCGAGGGTGCCAAAAGTGGTCCAGATTAGCATAAGCCGCACTGGTTTTCACTAAACGTGAATTGACCTGATCTCTCGCAACCACCAGCACTCACACGGCAGCCCAGATACACGAATTCCTCGACTACTTCTACCTGCTCACTATCGAGAGTGAGTACAGGTCCAGGGTTCTGTGTCTCATAAAAGTACTTTGTATCTAGAAGGCGCAGAGCACATGCCATTCCTACGCATACTAATTGCCAACTGATTAACTGCGGATTGCAAGGCTTGGGTACAGTCGCACAGGAAAGTTTTCTCCAGGCAACAGATACACACCACCATTACCTACGTCCACCAAAGATGTTTCTGGAACATCATCAATGGCAAAGTTGAAGAGGAATGTTGAAATTGGACAACCCTGCCTAAACTCATTGCTTGAATGAAACAATGGAGAAAGGTGGTTGTATGCTCTCACTCTGCCTGAGGTGTTTGTATACAGGGCCTTTAAGATGTCAATAAGCTTCTCAGATAAACCCTTCTCTAATAGACGATCCCAGAGAACATTCCTGTCCAATAAATTGATGTTGGCCTTGATGTTAAGGAACGCTACGGTTATTGGCCTGTAATAAGTATGACTTCTGACATTTGGTGGAGTTCAGAGTTATGATCAATACATCCTTGACCGGAATGAAATCAACTTACTTCTCTCGATTCGATGTCAGTTTGGACACAATCGGAAGTAGACTTATTCCCATGTAGTTGTTACGTACGTGATGATGACTCATTTCACGATGTTGTAACATTCCAGAGTCCTCAAACTTATGCAAGTGGTTCTGTCAGTTCGACAAGCAGGTCTTCACCATCGCTAACAATGGGTCGGGGGTAAGTCATCTGGTTCGGGTGATTGTAGTTGGAGTTCTTGGAGGACTTCCACGTTGTTAGATGAACCGGTAGACACTGGTTTCGTTAAAGAGACCAGTCTAGTCGATGTCGTAACAGCTGACCACCTAAACTGTTCCTAGAAAGACTGTCCATTTTCCTAGACGCGAGTAAATGTTGATTGGCATCTCATCAGCTTCACAGATTGTTCCATCTACACCAGACTTCTTGCTGCGTTTTCTAGCTCCCCTAGGTGGATCTTTCGTAGACTCCAACCAGACGAAAGTCACTGACATTCGCTTTTGGTGCTTTGAATTTCGTAAAAAACACCCAGCAGTGAGTATGACATCTCTGACAGTGGCTATATACATATGGCCGTACACAAATCACGAGGGAGAGAGAACTATCCTCATCCTCAATCGCAACTGGGTATTTCAGTCAGTCATCTACAACGTAGGACCAGGCACAAATATACATCGGTTCAGGTTGCCAAACCTCATTAGTACAAAAAGATGAATACCAAATCCATAGAAGCGGTCACTTCAGTGATAGTAATATACGTATATATATATATATATATATATATTGAATATAAGGATATGGTATATGGAGGAAAAATTAGTTTGTACAAAGTAGTTCTTATTCCATGGTTTGAGAGAAGATACAACGGGTATGAACCTACGTCATTGTGATCAATTCACATGGCCAGCGAATATATAGCCTCTGCCAGGGAAGTCCTACTCACTGCCTTCTCGTGGCGGGGGTGTTGTTTACGAAAGGGAGAAGACGAAATGCGAATGTCCGGCGCTTTAACCGGGTTGGTGGACACGGAGGGTCCGCCTAGGGGTAGGGGAGTTGGAAAACCCTGACTCCAAACCAATGGTGCACATGGGCTCCAGTATCGTGAGGGAACAAATGGCGTACGAACCAATCGTTGATCACCGGCTACCATGGGACTGCATCTCCTCACGATGCTCCACTGCCTTGTGGATCAGATCTTTCGGTCAAAGGCTCCGGGTGTGGGCCCCTAAGAAAACCATCTGCTTCAGTTCAGGCACCTGGGCAGTATCACAGCCCTCAAGCAAATCGAATGAGATTTGTATGGCGCATATTTATCTGGTGCTTCCTTGTACCAATATTTATGTGTTTAAATAAATGACAAATAAATAATGTCACCCAGTCTCCAACCATTGGTTACGATAATCACGCACACCCCAACCAAATAGTGTCTGCAATAACTAACGGGGGATAAGTCTACTTTCGATTGCGTCCAAACTATTGGCTTCTATCATTCTTCGTAGGTTGTTTAAAACCCGAGAACGATTGACTCGCGAGGAGCAGGCTGGTTTTCGTTCTGGTCGAGGATGCATTGATCATATATTCACCCTTCGCCAAATGTTAGAACACCGTCATACTTATCGCAGGCCAACAATCGTAGCGTTTCTTGATATCAGGGCGGCCTTCGATTCGTTGGACAGGACTGTTCTCTGGGATTGTCTATTGAAGAAGGGTGTGCCTGAGAAGTTCATTAACATCTTAAAGGCCCTGTATACGAACACCTCAGGCAGAGTGAGGGCATACAACCACCTTTCTCCGTTGTTCCATTCGAGCAGTGGGGTTAGGCAGGGTTGCCCGATCTCCCCATTCCTCTTCAACTTTGCCATCGACGACATCCTGGAAACAGCTCTGATGGATGTAAGTAATGGCGGTGTGGATCTGTTGCCTGGAGAACGACTTCTCGACCTTGAGTATGCGGATGATATTGTCTTACTGTGCGATAATGCCCAAGGCATGCAATCCGGACTTAATCAGTTGGCAATCAGTGTCCGCAGGTACAGCATGCGCATTGCACCCTCCAAGTGCAAAGTACTTCTACAAGACTGGCAGGATTCTCATCCTGTACTCACCCTGGATGGTGAGGAGATCGAAGTAGTTGAGAAGTTCGTGTATCTAGGTAGCTATATAAGTGCTGGTGGTGGCGTGAGTGATGAGATTGATGCACGTATAATGAAAGCCAGAGCGGCTTATGCCAATCTGGGCCATCGTTGGCGTCTTCGTGATGTTAGTCTGGCTGTAAAAGGTCGGATCTACAACGCGTCGGTGAGATCAGTTTTGCTCTATGCTTGTGAAACCTGGCCTCTCCGAGTTGAGGATGTTAGACGTCTCTCTGTGTTCGATCATCGTTGTCTCCGAAGGACTGCTGACATCCAGTGGCAACACCATGTTAGTAATGCAGATGTTCGGCATCGTGTGTTCGGTCGCAGAGACGATAATTCAATTGGTGTCACCATCTTGAAACACCGACTTCGGTGGCTTGGACATGTTTTACGAATGTCGTCCCAGAGACTTCCACGTCGTGCATTATTTGCCGACCCTGGGACTGGTTGTAAAAAGCGGAGAGGAGGTCAGTGTATGACATGGTGTCGTGGCATGAAAGAGAGCTGCAAAGGGCTAGCTTCCGTTGGTTCTTCACGACTCCCTGGCTGGGGTCCGAGAGATGGTGCAACGCAGTGGCTAGAGACGTTATCAGATATGGCTCAGAATAGAAGCCAGTGGCGATCCTGCTGCAACCTTCTTTTACTTTCTTCATAAAGAATGGTTCTAACTTTCCTAACTGAAAGAGTCTTCTGGTTGTACATTTCAGTCCGCCTTATCTTTTCATCCCTTCTCTTCCTACTTTCATTATTTTATGTGGCGCATATGTACCTGGTGCCCTTTTGTACCAATATATATGTGTTTAAATAAATAAATAAACCAAATAGTGTGCATCTACTACCATGACTCAGACCAGAAGTTAGTGACTTTATGGATCGATGCCACGTCTTGATTTGACCGCCCTCAACTTTTTTCTATCCATCTCCAACACTAGTTACCATTGCACTCAATGATAGTCGGTGATTGGGCATGCGTAATATGTGTTCCGGCCATCTCAGTCAATGAAGATTTACAACTCCATCAACTGACTTACCATCTTTCTCTGATACTATGTATTTAATCTTACTATTATTCACCCAATGATGCTAGAAGATACGAGCAATATTTCTAAGACATCTGTTCCGATCGTTGCTGCTACCTCAATGTGATAGTTGGGCTTGCCTTTCGTGGTGAACCAATCGAGCTATAATAATAATAATAACTGTTCTTCAAGGTCCTGTCATGCCAGACAGGTCGGCTGAAGAACTGTACGACCCAAGTTCCTAGGGCAAAGTCGTAATGCTGACTGTACAGAGGTGTGATGGCTGTGAGGTATTTCACTCAGACAACTAATATAACAGCAATGCTGCCATCTCACAAAGGAAGGGTGAGGTTAGAAAAGGTCGGTCCCGAAAATGCACACCTCGTCTTATCCCATGGGTTTCCGACCGGCTGTAAGGTCCCAACATGTACGAAGCTAACACAAAAATTATCCACAAAAGGTTGTATGTGACCGACCTCAAGCAGTTATCCATTGGGCACTGCGGTCACGCTTTCAGGTCACTAAGACCAACATTAACCCGATTCCATTTTCAGGTACTTTTAGAAGAACCCTTTCACGGTGTGGGCAATCGAGAAGTGATAACCGCCTGCATACCTCTAACATCACTCAGGATCACTGTATTCATAATCAATTTCCCTCTCCAATTCCTGTTATTTCTCGTACCTCAACTATCAACTCTATACCTCTTCTTTTGACTTCCTCCTTAAGTGTCACCATGGCCAACGATTCTAGTGCGCAAAACACTGTCACATGTCTACTGAAACCTCGCTTCAAACTACACATTGGAGCCTTCAACGTACACACCCTATGCCGAATCGGCCAGCAGGCCTATTTGACTAAAATCCTAGAATCTTGTACCATTGACTTATGCTGTGTCTCTGAAACGCGCATACAGGGTCCTAATGTGGTCATTCACTTGATCTCACCTCACCAAAAGGGAGAGCCGACGAGCCAAGCGCTCAGACCTAGTTCTCGTAGTGGGTGACTTTAATGTCCAATTAGGCAGCTTAAGTCAAACAGAAAGACATTTAGTTGGGTATTTTAGTATTCAGGCTCAGCGAACAGATAATGGTAATCGTTTGTTGCAATTATGATCAGACAATCGTTTATTTTTAGCAAACACAAATTTTAAGCATAAGGAGAGACATCGTCTAACATGGAGACCACCTGCACCAAACCAACGATGAACTCAAATAGACGATATTGCCATCAGTCATCGTTGGAGAGGCTCGATAGAAGATTGTTGGTCATTCTGGAGTACATGTTTAGACTCTGATCATGCTCTAATACGAGCACGCATTTGCTTGCGCCTCACTGGACGCAGACAAAACTACGCTAAGAAGACCCATTAGAACTGAACTAAGGGACGAGAAAGCCAAAAGTAAGTTCCAGGAACATCAGAGGTCACACATAGGTAGTCCTGTGAATGAGGCTGACCAAGATGCTGATTGGAAAGATATACGAACATCTGCGGAAACAGCAGTAACATCTATTAGTAATTTAAGCCAAAGGGTTACAAAAAAGCAATGGACTTCTTCTAAGTTTGATACGATGAAGAGCGAAAACAAATAAGATCTAGGTTAGCCAAAAGTCTACGGAACGATCGTGAGCAGTGGTGGGCAACGTAAGCAAAAGAGATGGAAAGGGCAGTGGCTTTAGGTAATACCAAACTAATAAAGGAAACTAGAATGAAGACGTGAGACGATCTCGGAAAAGGACGACACTCTTATCTGCTCTCAGTTCAGACGTTTAGAACGATGAGTGGAACACTTAAGAGAACAGTTAAGCTGGCCTTCGGCTGCTCTACAGTTACCCACCATTCCCAAACAGTCTTAATGTAACATTGAAGTAGGTCCCCAGAATCTAATTGAAGTTTAAAAAGCTATAGGTTATCTGAAACGAAAAAGAGCAGCTGGTCTAGATGGATTAACTCCTTAGGTCTTCAAGAATGGTTGTCCAGTTTTAGCGACTGGGTCGACTAATAATTTAGCTCAAATCTGGGAATCGAATGTAGTCCCATGTGAATGGTCGCAATCACTAATCCTCCCAATATATAGGAAAGGATCAAAATCATCCTGTAATAACCATAGAGGAATTAGTTTGACTAATGTAGCAGCTAAATTGCTAACCTCAATAATTATTGGGCGTCTAACAAAACTCGTGAACTGCAAACTCAAGGAAATCAGGCTGGCTTCAGGCCTGGTCGTGGTTGCATCCACTAAATATTCACCATTCTTCGGATTTTAGAACACAGGCATGCTTATCGGCGTCAGACGATAGTAGTATTTCTTCTACATTCCTTTTTCTTTTCAAAGATAGATACCGTCTAAAATCGAACATACTTCCAAAAATCTCAATGAATGGGTTCAGTATAGCGTGAAATTAATTGATCACTAGACGTGATATTACCATTCTTTGTATTTTTAATCCACTTACAGGATAAATCTGGTCACAAGTTAATTACCTTAACTGCACCTAAGTATGCCACGTGGTTAGTATCTAACCCATAATTAACATCGTGTTACTAGGCCGTAATTTTGAGTTGAATGCTTCACGATTGTGAATATCCGGACCTTCGACAGAAACTATCGTCACAACTATTCCCGTAATCCCAGTATTTTTTTGTTTATTTTGTAATGAATCTGTTTGGTGAATATAGTAGCTAAACACTTAGTTCATTGTATTCACAGGTCGTTAATCCCAAAAGAAAAAGAAGTAGATATCCTCGAAAAGTTGTGCAGAAGTTAAAGTCTGTCGGGCAAGCTATTGAACCTAATTTACCAGTCAATGGTGTCTCAAGTGCCGATAAACCATCTTCAAACAATGCATACTATCCTCATTGGTCTCATGATGACCTAATTTCGGGTGTCAGGAATGGAACACTTCTATCGGTAAGTGTTTTTATTATGTTATATAGGTATCATTACCAAGTCTTGATTTGATAATTTTGAATAAATTGAGCATTGGGTAGATTGTTATAAATAAATATTTGTAATATCCTTTGTAATTATAAAGGTCACAGTTTTCATTATTAACAGTGCATACATACACACAAAATTACATACATGTCGCTTATGAATCACCTTGACCGAAATGAAATGACGTGACAGTGATTTATTCAGACCTGTTTTTGATTGATCACCTAATATTCTTGGATTGTTCCGTTGTACTATTTAAACTTGGATTAATGTTAATTTGGTTATTTATTCTCTGAAGAAGTGGCTTACACTGAGTCACGAAACGTCAGAAAATCTAATTTTTCTACTCATTGGGATATTACAAATATATTATTTATTTATTATGTTAGATATTTCTTAGGTCAAAGATCTAGAAGTTGATACTAAATGAAGTCGGATTGATATATATTAGTTTTTTCCTCACTTTCATTCTTACCTCATGTTTTTGCACGTACTTTGTATGTAACACTATTCTATCCCCTATACATCGATTCATATACCATATTTTACCTTTGAAGTGTCTTTGATATAAGAGCTTAGATTGTCATTCATACACTTAGTGTAATTCAGTATATATTTACTTAAATGCTTGAATACCAGGTATCCGCACGACTTCATCAATAGTTAGTTTCGGTTTTGTCAACTCAAGGATAAATATGCTAGTATTACAAACAATATTATTCCCATGGTAATATCAATTCTGACGTCCTTTCGTGGTTATTGATCGTATCGCCTTTTAAAGTTCTAGTGTTTAAGATTTTGCAATTGATGGTCGATTTGAAACAACTTTTTGTAGGACTTTTGTGAGTAGTTAAAACTGATATCTGCTTTATTTTAAGGGACATAATGTTCTTATTGCTGCAGCTTTCTTATAATTCAAATGATATTTTAGTTATTTTATCTTACCAACTTTCAATATTCTCATTATTCATTTTACAGGGCGGCCTTCGTATCAATCCGAAAAACTTCGAAGATGGATACGTAAAGCATCCGGTAAATGTAGTTGTTATTGAGTTTATTAAAATATAAAGGCTGGTGATGCTGATGTATATATCTCAACTTTAGCATCCAGAAACCGAGCACTACCAAATGATATCGTTGCTGTCATGTTGGAACCAAAGCGTAACTGGAGGGTATGTTCAAGTAACCACAATATTTCCCGTACTTCGATAAATGAGTATGTAAAAATTCAGTAATGTTTTCAAAAGCAAAGGAGTCTCCTTCGGGAAACTGCCTTGATGTTTTGTCTTCTGAGTTTTGAAACTAGACTGTCGAATAGCTTCGGACTTTAATTTCTTGTACTATCCTTATATTCACAACTAAATCTTTTGATAAATGATCTGAAAAATATTGGTATAAGATTTTGTAGTAACTACTCTGTTAAAATATGCTTTGCATATTACTATGCGTTAAATAAGTAGTTGCGTTAACGTTTGCTAGTACTATGCATCCCACTTTATGGTCAAACCAAATTTAAGTTTCGTATTGGGTAGTTTACAGAGATCGCGAGACCACTCGTTTAATAGCTCTTTCGAGTTCATAATAAGACACCTTTTGATGCTTTTTCTCTGTATCTACAAACTGTGTGTATCCAGTTATGTCCGTTAGTATATAGGATGAGTAAATGCAATGGTAAGCAATCCAGAATCTTGATTTTGTCATCGAAGGTATATGTATGAAATTGAAATTGTAACCGGTAAGTGGGCTGGTCGTTTGTATTACAGTTACAGACAATATTGTCTCTAAATCATCGTTACAATCAAGTTTATTTGTTGTCTATGCGCTTCCAACTCAACAGTGAACTAATAGAATTTGGGTTTTAATTGAAATTATGAACCGATCAATGTCAGACCATCATTGAAAACCTGGAATCACTGGTCTAGAGGTTAAGCATTCACGTGCGAAACCGAAGGTCCTGAGTTCGAGTCCTTCGTGTGGTATCGTGAGTGCGCACCGCTGAGGAGCCTCATACCAAGACGAAACATCCATCAGGTAATGGAGTTTGGTGTGTTTTATGAGCGCCACGAATTTATATCCGACATAGTTTCGGATCTACATTTTGCACGTTTGCTGATTTAATGTCTGCATAATTTTAATGTTGTAAGTTTTTAATTCTTAACTTTCAAAGAGTCATAAACTTTTCTGCTTCAAGCTGTTATTAAAATATGTAGGAATTTTCGCATGAAAACCTGTTAAACATAAGCTTGTTCAATTGATTTATCGTTCGTGGTTAATTTGTGACCGATCACCATTTTAACTTTCTGGATTCCATATCGCTCAGCGATTTGTAGTTTCTGTAACTCAGTGGAGTTATGAGAATCACTTCTAAATACATAAAAGTTTGTCATAGAAAAATAGTAACCGCTAGATTGATCTAGAAACTTATCAGCCATTATTGCCTCGGTAATTTTTTCCTGCATATTTCCTACTCTTTTATTCCCAATGTTTGCTGGTTAAATATAGATATTTGTGCCTTTTTAGGTATTTGATTCTTTTATCGATGAATCAACCATGAGAGAAATCGGGGATTCAAATCAGAAGAAGAAACCTAGATATGTTACTTTGGAGCAGTTTCTTAAGATTCAACCTATGGGGTTAGAACAAGTATGTGGTTCATCATTTTCTCTTTATACTCAGTTCTATCTCTACATATCGATAGACTAGATGATACATCTGCCATCCCGTAAATGGGATACTTTGTTTTCCTTTCACAATCAATTGGAAGATTCTTCTAATACAAAATGGGCTCTATGCGAACTAAATAAACCAAACGACTAACATTCTACAATACTTAAGTGTTACTAATCCATGCACAAAAAAAGAGGAAAGATTTGTTAAGAAGATATAAAGAAGAATAGTCAAGACCCCAAAAGAATTAATATACATTTAATTTTATTTGATTATATGCCTGTTATTTTCGATGATTATAAATTACACTATCAAATTGAGTAATCGTTACTTAGATGCAAAATCACAGTGAATTAATTAATACAATATGACAGCAGTAAAGATCAAACATCTAGCTTCATACTAAATGATTTAATATAAATTCAGTTCACTGAAAGTCAGTAAATGAAATTCACGTAAATTAATATGCGAACCGATCTCTTCTCCATTCATTGTGTTGTGAATATCTTATACCAACACACACTTGTCTTTAAAAACAAATCAGAATCTATCAGTCTTCTTGCTTATGCTTATATAGTTACAACACGCTAATGTAATTAAAATAAGGTTATTAAGACTTATTACTAAAAAATCCATTTTCTTTTTATATGTTTCGCTATTTGTTGAATACACTGATTTACTCTAATCCGCTAGTCATTAATTACGATTATGGTATGGTATGGTTAACTGAGAAAGTCATATGTTCGGTGGGAATATTTCAATGTCATTAAATGGTTATTCTTACTGCTGCATCAGCCTACATGATGTACTTTTTGTAGAGTGTTTTTTCAGTTCAAAAAGTTTATGAGAGAGTTTAGGAATTGGTTATCGCAACTAGTGTTGTACTTTGATACATAGAATGGTCTGAAGTTGGCTGTCCGGCTTGTGGAATATAGTAATTAGAATAGACAGCGCAACCATCGAAAATCCGTTCTATATTTTCATTTCCTTAGTAACCTTATTTTATGATTTCTTTTATGGAAGTAAAACCACAGACTTATAATTAGTAAGCGGAAGCTATGAATTATTAAGGTAACCAATTTATGCTTTCATTTGATGTATAGCTCTTTACTATTCTCTTATTATATTCACTAGAAAAGCTATTCCGCATAAATATGTTCAAAAGTTGATAATTTACTAGAGCACTGGGGGTTAAGTATCATGTGTTTTATAGGCCTAGCAAACGATCATTTCAGACTTAACTGTTCCTTAAAATATTATTTTTTTTTGAAGCCCTTATTCACTTTTTACTTCAAGCTCATAGGAAGTCGTCTTGCAGAAGAGATCATACGGGATCTAGATTCACCTTTAGATCCTACGGATTCCTCCTCAGGTGAGCATGATGTGCAAAGTCACAGAGCTTGGTGGGCGATTATACAAAGGACTGGCCATGTTGTTGGAATCCTTCAGTCTCTACATTCCCGTGCTTTCATTGGAAATCTTCAAATTCCTAGTAATTTCCAAACTCCGAAAAAAGTATCTCCGAAAGGTGATCAGAATAATAACCAATCAGAACCTATGCGTACAGATCCAGCTCTGTCTAATTGGAGGAATGCTGTGCTCATACCTACGGATACACGCCTACCACGAGTCTTCATACCTCGTGAAGCTTGTCCGGAAGGTGAGTGTAAGTAGACGTATTAAAAAATGTTTACTATCGAATTGGCAAACTCTGAGAAAATCAAAGTATACTTATCTCAAGGTTATGTCTTTATCAGCTGTCAAAAAGTCGTTCCCTTACTTTTTGATTGCTGTTCATTTTGATATAGGATTCCTGAAAAATCCAGAAACCTACAAAAACGTTCGTTTCATTGGTCGTATCACTGAATGGCTTAATTCGAGTATGTTCCCAAAGGGGTAAGTATTTTTAACGTGTTATTGTTGTATGTTTAGTGAAAATTTGTTAGTTTTCCATCTTGTGTGAAGTAACAAAATTTTCTCCAATCATCGCACTTGTCTGGATGACATTCTGCTGAATGTCAGTTTCATTATCATATTTTGTTGTATGTCGTTTCTGTTGAAGGATCAAGATTTAAGCATTTTCCGATTTCCCGATTTTAAAAGTGGAATTATTAATAAGAGGTTATAACCAACAGCTAAACTGAGGATCTTTCCAGTACGATGACGCTACAAGTGAACCAAATAATCATCCTCATAACATCAATCAGTTGAAGGTTTTCAAGTGTATTTGTTTTTGGCAAAATTTAAGTCTTTTTCCAAAAGTCTTTTCTGGATGTCTTGACCTACTGTTAGTTTTATTAAGTGCCTTTCTTTGTTACATTATAATTTCAATGTCTAGGTTTCACCACCATTTCCTTCATCATAGAAATGCTGTTCCCCAGAGTAATTACCTAACGAAATAATTTTCCTGTTAGCTCCGAAAATAAGTTTCTTATCTATAAAGTTCCTTATTTTGAGTTTAGCGGTTATTCGATTTGTTAAGATATTCGAACCTCAGGAAAAATGAAATCTATTCTATGCCTCTGGGTAGCGGGTAGTGATAAAACAGATACTAGATGAATATGATCTATTACCTTATTCTATTGTGCTATGCTTGAACAGATTATGAGATCACCTAAAATCGGTGAACTGAGCGAAAGATCAGTGACACAACGACAAGACAGCTAAATATTTCAATGTGTCCCAGCCCCGCTAGCTAGAGGGAGAAGTCCAGGTTCAGATAATGGAAAGTACATTCTACAAGCAGCCAGAAGCACGAACGACAACAAGCACACAACTCAAGTGTATACATACAGCATAAAATTTCCTTGGCAAATGTCACAAAATAGCATGTTAAACAAGGCAACGAACCAATAACATTTAGGGTTCTAAGTAGGAAATACAATCTGAAGGTAAAAATGAACACTTTTGGCGCGAAAACGAGAAATCCAAATTTCCAAAATAAAATTACATAAATAGGACGTTTATCAAGTGATTTCTGAGGACCTAGCCTCCCCAACATATTGCTTATTCCTTGAGTAATTGCCAAATTGTAGCTATTTTAGTGGTAGCTCATAAATGAATCATACCTTTCTTTGTTTAAAATGATTGAGTTTATTAACTAAATAACTCATTATTTTCATTTATTTTGTAACCTCAATTGTTAACATGTTTACGTTACTATGTAGTTGGTGATCGTTGAGTTGTTGATACTGGTTTGACTATCATTGTTTGTTTGTGCTATATAAAAAATACTTCAGCTACCTTGACGAATCCGTTTCGTGTGAGGACTTTTATGGTTTTGATTTGTCATTTTCTTTTTTCGTCAGGGAGCTGTTACGAGAATTGTCTTGTGATTCTTCCACTTTGATTCAGGATGAGACGGATAGGATTTTAGTTGGTGCAGGATTTATTTGGGGTTTGGATGCAGCTTTTCAGTTTCCTGATATTGTCATTGAATCAGTTCGTAAGTCTGTTGATGAGGTGAATGCTATTCGTGAGAAGGATTTTATTTTCCGTAAAGATTTTCGAAAATATTGTGTTTTTACGATTGATCCCAGTACTGCTAGAGATCTTGATGATGCTTTGCATATTAGACAGTTGCAACCAAGTGAAATAGAAAAATTAGAATCCAGTGGTTACCGAAACGCCTTTTACGAGGTAAATAAGAGTACTGTTTTATCAGTCCATTAACAGGTAAAAATGAATTTTGGGAATAAATAATATTCTGAATGTTAGTTAATTCTAATTCGACCCTATGGATTTATGATGAGGGTCTTTAATTGAGTGTTTTATGGTGTTGAGTCATGTACTAACCTAGTACTGGATTAATTTTCTGGAGTACTTTTTCCAATTATTTGTGGGAAAACACCAAGACTTTTGTTAAACCTAGTTGGCTATATGGAATATGAAATACATTGATTACAGTAACTTTTAGATAGTAAATTGTTACTACCCTTTTGTTGTGCGTCAAAAGAGTGTTTCATTCTTTGTTGGGGATGTCAAATCCCCAGAACTTACTTGGTAAATGGCCTAATCTTGTAGTTTTATTTTGAAAATTTGAATTTAGCTGTTTTCGCGCCAAAAGCGCTCTTTTACCTTCACGTCATATTTCCCACCTGTAAACTATCTTAACCGCTATTGGTCCTTTGTTTCTTTATGTGTGCTATTTACTAATGGTGCTCAAGGACAATTTGTTACTGTATAAATGCGCTTGACTTTTTCCCTTATTTGATTGCTTGTACTCGGCTGCTTACGGAATACATATATATTCCCCTACTTGCCTTGGACTTCTTCATCTAGTTAGCGGGGCCTGGGACAACCGATTAGAATAGCTTATCGTGTCATTGTGTCATTTGGTTTTCGTTCGTTACCGCGGAATCGATTTAGTTTCAGGCATAACAATTGGCGACGGGGACAAAAGTGAAAAATGACGCTCCCTTCTGACCGCTTACAGTTGCTCTTTGACCGACACTTGGAGTTCATGGTCAAACTACGTACACAGTTTCTTGATCATCAATGCTTCACATATGCGTCAGAAGTGGATGTATTAATCTCTGAATTGCACACAGAGCTAGCAAATGATCGCAGCCCCCATGATTCCTCAACAAGCCGCAACCTAAACGAAACTGCAGTATCACAAGACATGCCCGGTTGTCCATCACTATCCGTTTCAGCAACATGCTCGGTAGTGGATTCAAACTCCACTATCCTGGAATTAGCAGGTTCTATCAATGACGCTTTCAGCTCTCATCAACACGATGCTATGTTAAAAGCTCATGAAGTGGTCGCACCAATCACCTACGAAGTGCCAGACATCATATCGAGCAGCACACCGAGCGAATCGCATTCTGCAATAGAAATTTTTACCGAATCTAATGCCAAAGATTCCCAAGCTTGTCCAGGAAATTTGTTACATGCATCAAATCCGGAACCTAGCGCAGTTTTGCTGGACACTGTTTTTCATAGTGATCCACAACCTGCCAGTGATGTTTGCAATAAGTCTAATGACTACATTTCTGCAGAATCAAATTCTGACCTCACATCAAGTGTCGATCCTCACCATCCAGTCAATCTTAGCAGGTTCCCTATTGAATGCCAGAAACATGTTATAAATAGAATCGCATTAGTAGAAAATTGGGTATATGAGGATCCAACACTATTTCGTGGGGGAGGAGGAGCTCGGATTTCTTAAAAAGGGGAGGTGTTGGGGATGTCAAATCCCCAGAACTTACTTGGTAAATGGCCTAATCTTGTAGTTTTATTTTGAAAATTTGAATTTAGCTGTTTTCGCGCCAAAAGCGCTCTTTTACCTTCACGTCATATTTCCCACCTGTAAACTATCTTAACCGCTATTGGTCCTTTGTTTCTTTATGTGTGCTATTTACTAATGGTGCTCAAGGACAATTTGTTACTGTATAAATGCGCTTGACTTTTTCCCTTATTTGATTGCTTGTACTCGGCTGCTTACGGAATACATATATATTCCCCTACTTGCCTTGGACTTCTTCATCTAGTTAGCGGGGCCTGGGACAACCGATTAGAATAGCTTATCGTGTCATTGTGTCATTTGGTTTTCGTTCGTTACCGCGGAATCGATTTAGTTTCAGGCATAACATTCTTCCAGCTTTCCCACAAGGAATAGAGTTATGTGGATCCCTGTTGTCAATCTCTAAACCTCCAGTTAGCATTATTGATTGTTCCAACTTCATACAGATCAAGTTATCCTCATACTGTGATATGCCAAATAATATTTGAAGAAGCATTACTTGTGGTTTTCATTTATAAGTGTAATCATTCGTCAGTTCATGGCGTGAAACAATGTTTATAATAAGTGATCTTTGAGATATCATTATGGATGTTCTATATCTGATTAATTCTAATTTATGTTTTGCGATTTTCGTTTTGCTAGGCGTTTACTTCTCAAACTCTACAGACTGAATATGTTAAGTGTTTAGAGTAGTCTGAAAAAGTGTTTTTTAATAATTACTGAGATGTTATTGTTCTCATACGTGGTTAACCCTTGTAAATATTAATACTCTAAGTCATAAATTGTAAACATTGCTCATCTTCCAGACTATCTGTTTACTTGATTCGTATGTCGCTCACTAATAGACAATTTTTATTACTGTAGGTTCTGTTTTTACTGGGTAGTATTTATGAAAGGAGTTCCTTCGGACTACTATATGTATAATAAATTAATGAAGTGCACAGAAAATGTAACGAGGAAATTTTGTGTTAGGGTTTTGTGACACAGAGTAACACATTACTTGTTCATCTATATTATTATTTTTCCCCAGGTTGGTGTACATATAGCTGATGTTTCATATTTTGTGAAACCAAACAGTCTAGTTGATAAGGAAGCGGCCTCCAGAGCAACTTCTATATATTTAGTGCAACTGTGCGTGCCTATGCTTCCACGTCTACTCTGTGAAGAACAATGCAGTCTTAATCCAGGAGAAGATAAATTAGCGTTTTCTGTGGTCTTCACTGTAACTGAGGACGCCAAGGTAAGCAAAACAAACCTTTTTACTACAGATGAATTGTAATATGTAAATTCATGCTATACTATATCACTAGTGCATCACTTAAATATAGATGCAGTTATACTAATATATTTTATATTATATCACCCATTCCTTTTGTAGGGGATTTCGTTTTCACTTATTACCTCCTTCGGTCTGGGCACACGAGTAGTATCACAGTTCTCGCACATATAAATGAAATGACGCTTTCTATTCATAATACTATTCTAGCTCCTACTAATTTAATTATTTATTTCAACACATAAATACTGGTACAAGGGGGCACCAGATATATATGCGCCACAAAAAACAATGAGAGTGGGAAGAGAAAAGGGGTAAGATGCATATATAAGAAAAATAAGAGTAATGATTGGGGAAACTGAAATGTACAACCAGAAGAATTCTTTCAGTTAAGGAAGTTATGACCACTCTTTATGAAGAAAGTAAAAGGAGGTTGCAGCAGGCTCGCCACTGGCTTCTATTCTGAGGCATATCTGATAACGTCTCTAGTCACTGTGTTGCACCATCTCCTGGACCCCAGCCAGGGAGTCGTGAAGAACCAACAGAAGCTAGCCCTTTGCAGCTTTCTTTCATACCACGACACCATATCATACACTGACCTCCTCTCCGCTTTTTCCAACCAGTGATCCCTTGCTTCTTTGTTCCATGTACCTATAAAGAGTGTTGCTCTGGTTGCTAGAACGTGCATCGGTCTCGTGACTTCCGAAGAATTTCGGCTTTCATCATGAGACGTCATAATTATTCCTTCAACTCCCAGGGCAGAGTTTAAATGGTTTGAATAATTTTTTCTGGATAGCGTTTTTTTAGCGAGTTAGGTTTTCTACGGGATGGGGACGCTAACCCCATGCCCAACCCTCCTCCTTTACCCGGGCTTGGGACCGGCAGTAACTCTAAAAGAGCTACAGGCGGAGTTTGAGCCCTTTTATTGACAGGCTATTATTTTCGAACAGTAACAATTCGCATATTCTTTTGTACCGTTATGATCACTAGAGCACATGACAAACTCTAGCTAAAATGTCGATTGCTTAAATTTCACTGGATGACTCATTCTTCTCTCCATGTATATATGTACTCAATTCCTATTATTAACTTTTGCTTTGGCTTGCTGCGTCCTTATATAATTGGACCATAAAGTCGTCTGTGTAATTGCTCGTATACACTTATTCGCCTCTCTGCTTCAAATACGTTTGGTGTGCTTATAACTTAATGATGTGCGCTATCCGCTAACAGACTGTAGTTGCCGATTCTCTTTGCCTTCTGGTTTCAAACACCGTTGAGATTTGTAACGGTTATTGAGGTGAACGATTAGCGAAGCGAAGCCATTACAATATGTCCCAACCAACTCAGCTGATGAATATTTACTACCTCATCGATTGATTTCCCACGTTTACCAGGTACTCTATTTCTAACTCGGGTATTGCTTACTCTGTGGTCTCAAAATACATGTGCTATACTTCGTAGACACCTATGACCGAATATCAGTAACCTAAAAGTATCCTCTACTCTCAATGGCCATATTTCACATCTGTAAAGCGAACGGCTGCACAATAAACTTTCTTTTTGGTTTGAGGACGGCTATCTCGCCTACGCCACTTGTAACTCAAGTTGACAAAAGCCAGTCGAGCCTTCGTATTCTGTATCGAGATTTCATCAGATATCAAACTATCAGGATCAATGAAACTCCCAAGACAAGTGAAGTGGTCGATGGGTTCAACTACTTTACTCCCTGTCATTAATTCAGGTGATGACGCAAGCCAATCCTGAAGTAACAATTTACATTTGGAGTAATAGAACCGCGTCCCAAACATCCTTGCATTGTTGTCTAATGTGTTTAGAAGACTACATTTTGTCATCGTCTTCACCGAACAGAACTATACCTTTTGCGTATTCTAAGTCGACAAGTGAGTCTCTTAGTAGAAGATGAATCTTTGAAAAGTCAGACGCTTTGTTTCATGTTACCTAAAGTTTCAACAGTCAAATACTGCAGATCAAACCTGATATGAAAGTGAGAATTTTTAAATCATTAATGAAAATTGTGTGTCCGATCTACAAACTATCCGTACGAAATCACCCAACATAAAAAGTGAATCATTCAAAGTGGCATGTTGATGAATATATAGTTGAATATAAGGAATAAACTCATTTGAATTATTGTTCTAGATTTTTCTTGGGAATAGAGCATCCAATGTTTGACCTGATTTCCATGAATCACATTTTAAATAGTGTTAGTTTTGTTTGTGCAAAAATATTATTTCTCAGTTTCTTGCCATAACAATTTATATTACACGTTGAGGTAAGTTAGTAAATTTGTTTCTTGACCTTGTAAATTTCTGTTATGTGTGCCAGGTGAAATTTATTTATCAAAAGTTTCTTTCATCGTAATACAGATTTTAACAACATGGTTTGGCCGTACATTTATTCGTTCGTGTTGTAAACTCAGTTATGAAGATGCTCAGGTTAGTCTTTTAAATAATATATCTGATTAGACTGTATTATATTCAACCATTTTACATCTTAACCATTGAGCTACCAACTCGAACACTCCTTCATCTATCTACCTCTAAAACAACCCTTCCACCGTGTGGGCAACCGAGAAGTGATAACCGCCATCTCACAAAGGAAGGGTGAGGTTAGAAAAGGTCGGTCCCGAAAATGCACACCTCGTCTTATCCCATGGGTTTCCGACCGGCTGTAAGGTCCCAACATGTACGAAGCTAACACAAAAATTATCCACAAAAGGTTGTATGTGACCGACCTCAAGCAGTTATCCATTGGGCACTGCGGTCACGCTTTCAGGTCACTAAGACCAACATTAACCCGATTCCATTTTCAGGTACTTTTAGAAGAACCCTTTCACGGTGTGGGCAATCGAGAAGTGATAACCGCCTGCATACCTCTAACATCACTCAGGATCACTGTATTCATAATCAATTTCCCTCTCCAATTCCTGTTATTTCTCGTACCTCAACTATCAACTCTATACCTCTTCTTTTGACTTCCTCCTTAAGTGTCACCATGGCCAACGATTCTAGTGCGCAAAACACTGTCACATGTCTACTGAAACCTCGCTTCAAACTACACATTGGAGCCTTCAACGTACACACCCTATGCCGAATCGGCCAGCAGGCCTATTTGACTAAAATCCTAGAATCTTGTACCATTGACTTATGCTGTGTCTCTGAAACGCGCATACAGGGTCCTAATGTGGTCATTCACTTGATCTCACCTCACCAAAAGGGAGAGCCGACGAGCCAAGCGCTCAGACCTAGTTCTCGTAGTGGGTGACTTTAATGTCCAATTAGGCAGCTTAAGTCAAACAGAAAGACATTTAGTTGGGTATTTTAGTATTCAGGCTCAGCGAACAGATAATGGTAATCGTTTGTTGCAATTATGATCAGACAATCGTTTATTTTTAGCAAACACAAATTTTAAGCATAAGGAGAGATATCGTCTAACATGGAGACCACCTGCATCAAACCAACGATGAACTCAAATAGACGATATTGCCATCAGTCATCGTTGGAGAGGCTCGATAGAAGATTGTTGGTCATTCTGGAGTACATGTTTAGACTCTGATCATGCTCTAATACGAGCACGCATTTGCTTGCGCCTCACTGGACGCAGACAAAACTACGCTAAGAAGACCCATTAGAACTGAACTAAGGGACGAGAAAGCCAAAAGTAAGTTCCAGGAACATCAGAGGTCACACATAGGTAGTCCTGTGAATGAGGCTGACCAAGATGCTGATTGGAAAGATATACGAACATCTGCGGAAACAGCAGTAACATCTATTAGTAATTTAAGCCAAAGGGTTACAAAAAACCAATGGGTTTCTTCTAAGTCTATTGCTCTGATGGATTCTCGTAAACTTCCAAAAATCTCAATGAATGGGTTCAGTATAGCATGAAATTAATTGATCACTAGACGTGATATTACCATTCTTTGTATTTTTAAATCACTTACAGGATAAATCTGGTCACAAGTTAATTACCTTAACTGCACCTAAGTATGTCATGTGGTTAGTATCTAACCCATAATTAACATCGTGTTACTAGGCCGTAATTTTGAGTTGAATGCTTCACGATTGTGAATATCCGAACTTTCGGCAGAAACTATCGTCACAACTTTTCTCGTAATCGCAGATGACATAGTCGTGTTTGATGAAGACGCTAACAAAATGCAGAGTCTTCTGTTAGAACTGAGTAATAATACCAGGATATCTGGAATGCGTTTCTCCCCCTCTAAAAGTAAATTGTTACTCCAGAACTGGCCTGCGTCAACACCCGAACTAAGGATAGGGAGTGAAGTAGTCGACCGCGTCGACAACTTCACTTATCTTGGAAGTCTGATCAGCCCTATTGGGTTAGTGTCTGACGAAATCTCAGCACGGATTCAAAAAGTTCGTTTGGCTTTTGCCAACTTACGTCACCTATGGCGAAGACGAGATATCCTTCTATCAATTAAGGGACGAGTATACTGCGCAGCAGTTCGCTCTGTTCTACTTTACGGCTGCGAAACATGGCCATTAAAGGTGAAATATAGTCATAAGTTACTATTATTTGACCACAGATGCCTTAGAAATATTGCTCGCATCTGCCGGGATCACTGGGTAAGTAATAGTGAGGTTCGACGCGGGGTATTAGGGAATGGTGTTAAATCAGTTGATAAGGTTGTAAATCTTCATCGACTGAGCCACGTGTTACTTATGGCTGAACACCGATTACTACGACGCGCTATGCTGATTAGTATTGAAGATGGTCGGAATAAAGGGTGTTCAAACCAAAATGTGACATCAGTACTTGAAGTCACTAACTTTTAGTCTGAGCTATGTTGGTAGATGCAGACAACTGGGTTGGGGTAATGTGAGACTATCGTAACCACTGGTTGGAGACACTTGGTGACATGGTTCAGAATCGATCATAGTGGTGTAGGTGTATACACTCTTTGTCTTCACGTAAAGTATGAGATTCAAATTGCTTCATATCTGTCTTTCTTCCTGTACTATTTCCTTATATATTACCACCACTAAATTAACTACTTTTATATATTTATTTATTTAAACACATATATATTGGTACAAAAGGGCACCAGATACATATGCGACACACAAAATAATGAAAGTAGGAAGAGAAGGGATGAAAAGATAAGGCGGACTGAAATGTACAACCAGAAGACTCTTTCAGTTAGGAAAGTTAGAACCATTCTTTATGTAGAAAGTAAAAGAAGGTTGCAGCAGGATCGCCACTGGCTTTTATTCTGAGCCATATCTGATAACGTCTCTAGCCACTGTGTTGCACCATCTCTCGGACCCCAACCAGGGAGTCGTGAAGGACCAACAGAAGCTAGCCCTTTGCAGCTTACTTTCAGGTTGTGGTCTGTGCACAGTTGCAGCAAACGGTCCCCGTTTTCTGTCCTGCAACCAACAAGTCCCCATCGTCCACCTAAACGACTCTCTTCTGTGCCTAGACGCCCGACCTGTGCATTCAAGTCTCCGGCTAGTACTACAATATCTGTCGAACGCGCTTTCTGGATAAGAACTGTTAACTGATGGTAAAACTCATCCTTGATTGCATCCGGGCTGCAATCTCTTTCGGAGCATAGGCGGAGATGACGAAAAGACACCGTTTCTCACGCCGGTTTCTTCTCACTTTGATGGAACTTTCTAATCTAACAGCACATAACCGACTGTTAATGGGGATTCAATCGATTAGTGCTGCCTCAGCCCTAGCGCTTAGTGCGACACCAACGCCAGCAAGACCAGACGAAGATGCCACAGGGTCTCCGGATAAGCGCACGTGAAACAAGCTTTTCGAGGCGACAGATGGAGAGCGGATTTGTAGTACTTCACTAGAGTCTTGAATGCGGGTCTCGGATAGACAGCAAACATCAACATTAAGACCTTCCAAAGATATGGCCAGCTCTATCTGTTGTCTGATCTGCATTAGTGTGCGAACGTTGAAGGAAGCCAGCTTGAACGGCGTACGTGGTTTCAGAAAGACTGCTTCAGTATTCGTAATCGGTGGAAGCATTCACTTTCAACCAGACAGTGACTGGAGATCGTTTAGATAGGACAGAGTTTCCACCATGGGCGAGCTGCTGCATAAGTTGGAAAGTAAGGATACACAATTTGGGAATAAAGGGAGTGAAAAAGCGACGTAGTAAATAATAATAATAATGGTAATAATAATAATAGTGAAAGTTGTCTTGCTTCTAATATGAGCGAGAATAGTATCGTCAATAGAATTCATCATTTCATTTATTTGTGTGTGGGCTGTGATGCTGCCCAGGTGCCCAAACCGAAGCAGGTGGTTTTCTTAGGGGGCCACACCCGGAGCCTTTGACCTAAAGGTCTGATCCACAAGGCAGTGGAGCATCGTGAGGAGATGCAGTCCCATGGTAGCCGGTGACCAACAGCAGGTTCATTCGCCATTCGTTCTATCAGGAAACTGGAGCCCATGTGCACCATTGGTTTGTAATCAGGGTTTTCCAACTCCCCTAGGTGGACCCTCCGTGTCTACCAACCCGGTTAAAGCACTGATCATTCGCTTTTCGTCCTCTCACTTTCGTAAACAACACCCCCGCCACGAGTGATGACGTAGCTCGGTTTAGTAAATGGATATGTGCTTAATTATTGAATTACAACAATCATTTTTGATTCAAATATAGTGTTTATTGCATTCGATAGTTTTTATATCTTACGAACTTTTGAAGTTCCAGATTTATTTTTTCTGGACCTAGTTAACTGTAGTCTTCTATTTTAAGGAGATAAAATTCTGAAAAAGATACTGCATATGTTATGCTTAAATGAGTTTCGATCGTTCTCTATCGTATTGTATAAATGCCCCCAAATGCCCTGGTACGGCCGAGAGTAGGGAGAGTCTACTCTCCCTCTCGAAATGCTCTCATATGGCTAGCGAATATATAGCCTCTGCCAGGGAAGTCCTACTCACTGCCTTCTCGTGGCGGGGGTGTTGTTTACGAAAGTGAGAGGACGAAAAGCGAATGTCCGGCGCTATAACCGGATTGGTGGACACGGAGGGTCCACCTAGGGGAGTTGGAAAACCCTGATTCCAAACCAATGGTGCACATGGGCTCCAGTTTCCTGAAGGAACGAATGGCGGAAGAACCTGTCATTGGTCAACGACTACCATGGGACTGCATCTCCTCACGATGCCCCACTGCCTTGTGGATCAGACCTTTAGGTCAAAGGCTCCGGGTGTGGCCCCCTAAGAAAACCACCTGCTTCGGTTTGGGCACCTGGGCAGCATCACAGCCCACACACAAATAAATGAAATGACGAACTCTATTGACGATTCTATTCCTGCTCATATTATAAGCAAGATAATTTACATTATTATTATTATTATTATTATTATTATTATTATTATTATTATTATTATTACTTACCATATCGCTAATTCACCCCCTTTTACCCCCAATTTGTGTAACCTTACTTTCCAACTTATGCAGCAGCTCGCCCATGGTGGAAAATCTGTTCTATCTAAACGATCTAAAGTCACTGTCTGGTTGAAAGTGAATGCTTCCACCGATTACGAATACTGAAGCAGTCTTTCTGAAACCACGTACGCCGTTCAAGCTGGCTTCCTTCAACGTTCGCACACTAATGCAGATCAGACAACAGATAGAGCTGGCCATATCTTTGGAAGGTCTTAATGTTGATGTTTGCTGTCTATCCGAGACCCGCATTCAAGACTCTAGTGAAGTACTACAAATCCGCTCTCCATCTGTCGCCTCGAAAAGCTTGTTTCACGTGCGCTTATCCGGAGACCCTGTGGCATCTTCGTCTGGTCTTGCTGGCGTTGGTGTCGCACTAAGCGCTAGGGCTGAGGCAGCACTAATCGATTGAATCCCCATTAACAGTCGGTTATGTGCTGTTAGATTAGAAAGTTCCATCAAAGTGAGAAGAAACCGGCGTGAGAAACGGTGTCTTTTCGTCATCTCCGCCTATGCTCCGAAAGAGATTGCAGCCCGGATGCAATCAAGGATGAGTTTTACCATCAGTTAACAGTTCTTATCCAGAAAGCGCGTTCGACAGATATTGTAGTACTAGCCGGAGACTTGAATTGCCGGTGTGCCACCTGGCGTCCTCCCTCTGCATCCCAAGCCTGGACTCAGATTGATCACATCGCGATCAGCTACCGCTGGCGTGGTTGTGTACAAGACTGCCGCTCCTTTTGGAGTACCTATCTGGAGTCTGATCATGCCCTAGTCTGCGCCAATCTCACCTTACTTTTCAGTGGCCGAAGGATTGACCACCACCAACGGATTGATGTTAGTAAACTGGTTGCAACTCCTGTTGCAAGTAAGTACCGAGCGGAGCTAGCCTCTAGGCTAGCTAACACCCCACCGAAAAGTATAGATGAGCATTGGTTGCATCTTCGCGAAACGTCCCGCTTACAAGCACTGGGTTTCTTCTGCCTCCTTACAACTGATGGAAGCCCGTCGGTCTACTCCGGGTGACCGTGAGTTTGACCACAAACGAAGGCTGTTACGTAATGAAATTGGGCAAAGCTTGCGTAAGGACCGGGAAGCCTGGTGGTCGGAGCGTGCTAATGAGATGGAAGCAGCAGCTGCATCTGGTAACTGCCGGAAGCTCTTCCAACTCATCCGAGCCACTAGCAGCAAGAAGTCTGGTGTGAGTGAAACAATCTACGAGGATGATGGGATGCCAATCACTAACATCTCCCGACGTCTTGGACGATGGGCGGAATTTTTCGAAGGGCAGTTCAACTGGCCTGCTGCTCCGGCAACATCAACCAGCTTGTCCTGCCCCCCATGGCCGGTGACGACTGATCCACCAAACGAGGCGGAAGTCACCAAGGAACTCCAACTCTTGAAGCGCTACAAATCACCTGGCCCAGATGACTTACCTCCGGCTCTTTCTAAAGATGGTGGCGACTTTCTGACTAAGGAATTGACTGTGTTGTTTGGAAAGGTTTGGGAGCAAGAAAGTGTTCCAACATCATGGAATGAGTCAATAATCGTCCCTATCTTTAAAAAGGGTTCGCGTTGTTCCTGCAATAACTATCGGGGGATAAGTCTACTTCCGATTGCGTCCAAACTATTGGCTTCTATCATTCTTCGTAGGTTGTTTAAAACCCGAGAACGATTGACTCGCGAGGAGCAGGCTGGTTTTCGTTCTGGTCGAGGATGCATTGATCATATATTCACCCTTCGCCAAATGTTAGAACACCGTCATACTTATCGCAGGCCAACAATCGTAGTGTTTCTTGATATCAGGGCTGCCTTCGATTCGTTGGACAGGACTGTTCTCTGGGATTGTCTATTGAAGAAGGGTGTGCCTGAGAAGTTCATTAACACCTTAAAGGCCCTGTACACGAACACCTCAGGCAGAGTGAGGGCATACAACCACCTTTCTCCGTTGTTCCATTCGAGCAGTGGGGTTAGACAGGGTTGCCCGATCTCACCATTCCTCTTCAACTTTGCCATCGACGACATCCTAGAAACAGCTCTGGTGGATGTAAGTAATGGCGGTGTGGATCTGTTGCCTGGAGAACGACTTCTCGACCTTGAGTATGCGGATGATATTGTCTTACTGTGCGATAATGCCCAAGGCATGCAATCCGGACTTAATCAGTTGGCAATCAGTGTCCGCAGGTACGGCATGTGCATTGCACCCTCCAAGTGCAAAGTACTCCTATAAGACTGGCAGGATTCTCATCCTGTACTCACCCTGGATGGTGAGGAGATCGAAGTAGTTGAGAAGTTCGTGTATCTAGGTAGCTATATAAGTGCTGGTGGTGGCGTGAGTGATGAGATTGATGCACGTATAATGAAAGCCAGAGCGGCTTATGCCAATCTGGGCCATCGTTGGCGTCTTCGTGATGTTAGTCTGGCTGTAAAAGGTCGGATCTACAACGCGTCGGTGAGATCAGTTTTGCTCTATGCTTGTGAAACCTGGCCTCTCCGAGTTGAGGATGTTAGACGTCTCTCTGTGTTCGATCATCGTTGTCTCCGAAGGACTGCTGACATCCAGTGGCAACACCATGTTAGTAATGCAGATGTTCGGCATCGTGTGTTCGGTCGCAGAGACGATAATTCAATTGGTGTCACCATCTTGAAACACCGACTTCGGTGGCTTGGACATGTTTTACGAATGTCGTCCCAGAGACTTCCACGTCGTGCATTATTTGCCGACCCTGGGACTGGTTGTAAAAAGCGGAGAGGAGGTCAGTGTATGACATGGTGTCGTGGCATGAAAGAGAGCTGCAAAGGGCTAGCTTCTGTTGGTCCTTCACAACTCCTTGGTTGGGGTCCGAGAGATGGTGCAACACAGTGGCTAGAGACGTTATCAGATATGGCTCAGAATAGAAGCCAGTGGCGATCCTGCTGCAACCTTCTTTTACTTTCTACATAAAGAATGGTTCTAACTTTCCTAACTGAAAGAGTCTTCTGGTTGTACATTTCAGTCCGCCTTATCTTTTCATCCCTTCTCTTCCTACTTTCATTATTTTGTGTGGCGCATATGTACCTGGTGCCCTTTTGTACCAATATATATGTGTTTAAATAAATAAATAAATATCGTATAAATTTTATCATCTCAATATCAATGTTATTCCATACACTTTCAGGGATTTATTGATCACCCTGATAGGGACTGGTCGTCCAGTGGGTTTGTCAAGGTAGATGAACCGTATACCATAATGGATATATGTCATAATGTTTTAAAATTAAACAATGTAAGTTCTTCTACCATAATATTTTTCTTTAAACATCCTTTTTTCTACTTCCTTGTTCGTCGTGATGCCAGTTAGATTGACCATATTTGGTAAACATTGGTTATCACCATTCTTTGTTTATGACATGGATTTTTTTCATATGCAAATCAGTCTGTTAAACACGTTGTATACTGAAAACCAGTCACCTCGTCAAATTTTTACAATTTTATAATTGGTCAGTATCCTTTTCCAATGGAAACTATTGAATGGTTCTTATATGCTGATCATTTTTATAACAATTATTTCTCATGTTTTAGCTAGCTACTAAAATGCGTAAAAGTCGTTTCCACTCTGGAGCGCTTCGTTTAGATCAAGTGAAATCTACCTTTTCTCTTAATAACGAAACTGGACTACCATTGGGTATTGCTCCTTACATTTCGAAGCAGAGTAATTGGCTTATTGAAGAATGGATGTTAGCAGCAAACAAATCAGTTGCTGAACGCTTAGCTAAATACTTACCCGACTCAGCTTTTTTGAGACGACATCCACCACCATCTGTAAAACAGCTGACCGAAGTTTCGTCTAGTCTAAATGTTGCTGGGATAAATATTAACATTGATTCTGCCGGTTCAATACAGGTATATGTTGCTTAAGCATCTTATATAATTTCAAAATTAAACTACTATACTATGTTTTTGCGTTTAACAGAATTTCACTTTGTTGCTAATTACTCCCTAGTTTACCATTTTAAGAAACTGGGTCTTTAGTATCATTAAACGATCACTAAAGCTTTTCACACTAATAGAAGTAATTTATCTACTGGTAGACTCAAATGACTTGACAATCTAAGTAATGTGTCAATCGTGTCCGAACTTGGGGGCCTTAGTCATTCAGTTATATAATGTAAGAGGTTGCAGCAACAGATCATGTTTAGCCTTTGGTTTAATTGTTAAATGTCTAGTACCTTGACCTTGGCTCATAGATGTCACGCCGAATAGATTTCCGTACGTTACCGCTGATAAAAACGTATATTTGCAATACATTTGGTTGTGTTATCCAGTATTTGAAATGGAATTTTAAATTCTCAAAATGAAAGTTTAGTTAATTTTTCTCATGAATATCGTTAAATTTTAGTGTGAAACACAAAGGTGTTCAAGTTGTTTGAAAAATACTGAATAAATTTGCATTTAATACCTTAGAAATTGTCCTGAATGAATCAGATTCAACGAGCTATGTTACTTGTCTTCAAATGAAAGTCTACATATAATTTTGTCACGAAAACACACTCTTAGTATTTGAGAAATACATTTAGTCGCGATTCCATTCTGGTTTGTTTAATGGAAACTGTACAGCTTTCAATTTAAAAAAAATAATGCTAGTTTCATTTATTGCTTGTACTATTCTATGCTAAGCTAATAGTTTGCAACTCTAGCTTCAACAGCAATAAATGATACCTTTTCCCTCTACTCATTCTGGTCGGCTACCCATGTTCATCAACGAGGGGTACCAAGCGTAAGTAATTTCAGTAACTATCCCCTTCTTCCCTGTCATCTGCCAATACAGAGGAAATTTTAACTTATTTATGAACCCTATATATATGGGCGCAATTCAATTATATTCCGTTATATACAGCTTACGGGTAGTGTTTATAAGGTAAAGAAATCATCTTGTTGGACAACAGTTATGTGAGCAAAAATTTCATCGAACTAATTGATGCAAATTAATGTTGTAATGGGCAAAAAATTACTCTGAATTGATACTAATGGCAATTAAATGGAAATCGTATTTAAACATCAATACGTAGTGTTTCACTTAATTTCTCCCTATTTAATTTTGTTAGGGTATTTAACATCCTCAACAATACCATGTCACTTGCGAAATTCGCTTACTGATAGTATATAGTGTCGCCTTAATATCAGCACTACATACTCAATGTTTTAGAGTTTAAAATTACTAAGAATTAGTGTAACCCCACTATCTATTCAGATAAACAAATAGGAATTTCGTATTGTATGAAAAATTCAGGCACAATTGTACACAAATCTTTACTCCATATTTGGGTGTTTATATTTTAGAATTCAGTTTGCCGTGAAGCAGGTTGTAATGTCGAAGTTGGATATCACTACTCAGATGCCCTTGTCAAATTGTGTGATGATTTTATGTCCGGTGCTTTGATTCATGATGGTCATTTAATAGAAGAAATGAAAAGAATGGATCTCAACTCAGTTGTTCAAAAGGATAAGTTACCACTCAAAACTCTTGAACATGAAGCACGACTTCTTGTTACAGTTGCTTTATTGACTAAAACAATGAATTTGGCTGTCTACTTCTGTTTAGGTCTACTACCATCCGAGTTGTCGCCTGCACATTATGCTTTAAATATGCAATTGTACACACATTTCACTTCCCCTATTCGTCGTTACGCAGATGTTATTGTTCACCGGCAATTGTCAGCTATTTTGGCCAAAGAAGAAAGTGATCGTTAGTAATTTTACATTACTGTATATCTCCTATAGTTATAACCATCTAGTTTGAATTGTCTCAGTGTTCCATTAAATGTTTCTTTGCATTTCCTATCATTGAATTTTTACATTAAACTGCTGAATATCTGAGTATGTTTCGCACAATTTGAGTAAAGAGCTGCGTAGTTAATTTGTCTGTTGAAGATTTATTTAGATTTATAGAAACTGTTGATTTAGTTTTTCTTCACATATATAGTTTATTTATTTAGCAAAGTTTGTTCACTTTCTTCATTCCTGATCTACAACAAAGAGTCACATTTCTAGAATGTATTTAACGTTCTTCGTTCATGACATCTAATCTTGTCTTCCGTTGTAATTTTTCTGCTTTCTTAAAAAGTAAATTTTAGGATTGATTTAGAGTAATTCAATATTGAACGCGAAGAAAATATGTCTATACTGGTTCTTATTAGACTTACATAAACTTTGCTGTCGATATCCTAAAAGATTTCTACTCTGTATGCAATGGGTTGTTAGGGTTGCTGGGAAGATTCAAAGTATTCTTCGAAAAAGTTCATAGAGGTCCAGAAAACACTGGATCTTTTATATATAAACTAACCTTGGAGTAAAACGTTCTTTGCTCACTTTGCGCTCTTTGTTCCGTGTTCAAGTTGCTGAATAGATTCAGCCTGTGATTATTAGAAGACTTATCAGCATCGGTTCAGCATCATCCAGTAAATGAACTATTGTTTTAAATGAACAATTGAAAAATTGTCAAGATTACAAGTAATCCACAATTCAGTGTAGTTTTCTTTTTCTATAAGTGTATCGATCGAAATTTATGTGGTAACTGTAATATTTTTAGGTATTTGCTTATTACTACTCTTGCTAGCTATAATATAATAAGATACAGTACAATGTCTTTTCTTCACTTCCCCATCTTCTCAACGATAGCTGAAAAAGCAGATTGGTATTTAAGTACAGCCTTCCCAAAGGAAATGACGCCAGTCGAATTGCAGCAACAAGCCGAGATTTGCAATTCGAAAAAATTGTCTGCTCGACTTGCTGGGGAAGAAAGTGCTGAATTGTTCTTTGTTCTGTTTGTCAAGGTAATTGGTGTTTTAATATATATATATATATATATATATATATATATATATATATATATATATATATATATATATATAAAGTTTTGGTACATATATATGCATCGATAGTTTTCTTTTCCTAAAATTAGTCTCATTGATTATTAAGGATTATTTCAATTGATATGATTGGATTAAGTTGTGATGCATTATATTTCTTTTATCTTCCCAAACAATTAGGAGACAGGTCCATTTAACGAAGCATGCGCCGTAACATCCATACTCGATCGTTCATTTGACGTTCTTATCCTCTCTTGTGGTCTCATCAAAAGAGTTTATTTACAGGTTAGTTTGCTAGTCTCATTTTTCTACTGCTCGGTTGTTATTGTTTTTGTCTGTTATATTTGTTCGTTTGATCCTTCATTTGTACAATAAGTTTTTCTGATGAACGTTTTTGGCTCAACTCGATACTTTTTGTAGTGCTGTGTTCTCTAATTGAAATTGTTTAATTCTTGAGCTCCGATTGTCATCGTTTTCCTAAATAGATGACTTGACCTACGCCTAAAACAAGTATAGACGAAACCTATGAAAACAACTTATCGCAAACAATATCATTAGAACAGATTGAATAAGGACTTTAGAAATAAGTTATATGAAGTTAACTTCTGGGTTAGGTAGGTCCTGGTGATATCCAGAGTGACAATAAAATATCTCGTTTAGATTGTACTAAACCGCTTAAAGTAAAATGTGTCAATATTCTTACACATCTTTAGTCACCAGTGTTATATCCTGGTGCAAATTAAATTACGGGTAACTTCTAAGAACTATTAATGGACTAGATTATGCATATCTATATTCCTCTTATTATAAGCTTCATTTTGACCTATAGTTTATTGTCATACGACCGTTCTTAAGTTCTGTTCAGTTTATTGATTACAGTCTCTAACGATCACAGCCACTTTTCGGCTTGATCTTGTATAAATGTCATTTCCTATTTTATGATGTGATGCGGTCTCTTTAGCTGGTATATAAACCAGATATGTTTGAAATAAATGATTCGCATAGCGGAAGTTTTTATTGATGTTCTGGATTCAACTGGTTGGACTAGAAGAACAAAAGACCAATTAGGACACTAGGCTGCTCATACCGGCCGAAGGTCATTGGTTAAGTACAGTACTAAGATTGAATACGCTGTATTTCGATTGGTGAACACATTGCATGATAGCTAGCCGGGATTAAAGTCACAACAACCAGATTTTGTAAATAGATGTTACATTTTCATTTTGGTTCTTGTAACCTAGTCTGCACTACTGAAAAGTTTCATGTTAATTCGAAAAGTTTGTCACATACTCCCTAGTTTTGAATGACGCTAAAACTACCATCGATTTGTGAAGAATACTACCTGAATGTAGTATATAGTGGTATGAAAATTGGCAAATTCGAAGGCTTAATTACATTACATAAGTTAGAATGATATTTGGAAGCATTGTAGGTCTTTCTTATCATATTAATATTATTTGTCCCTTGTTTACTGGTACGATTCTAGCTCAGTTTCGTACTTGTAAGGATGGCTCGTTGGTAAACTCTAGGAAGCCACACGAAGCCCCAGAAAGAGCCGAAGACATTCCATCCAATCACTGCTAGGGGAATATTCTAGAATGTCGACGTGTAGCTTCCCTGTTGGATGAATAAGCATGACCCCCTATGTGCCTATTGATTTATTCCCAGCCAAAAACTATAAATACATCAGATTTCTGAACTATATTTTGGGGGATAAAATTCCTATTTACTAGTCTACTGTCTTCTCACTTGCGACGTTGCGGGTTCGATCGTTCAAGTAGTCTAGTGGTACGCGGCATAGCAAGAATCAAAGCTTCATATATAACAGTACTTTATCAGTTCTGCTAATTTCTTTTCTCTTACCTGAACCGGGGAACCATAGTACTTGGTTTTTTATGAGTAATATGTTTATTTCATACCTATTCTCTGTTCTAACTTATATTTGTTAGTGAGTCTTACTACTGTCTGATTGTCATATCAATACACTTTTATTTCTTTAATATTAGAATCTAAATTTGAAAAGTTATGAATTCGTTCCTCCACGAACCGCTATGGGAAAAGTCGTGGAGGGCGGAAAACTCTGTCTTCTGTGGAACAGTGATATATTAGAAAATTCTAATACAAAGGGTTTGGACTTTGCAGATTGTACCCAAAATATTACTGTTGGTTCGAAAACTACATTACCAAGTTGTGGTTGCTTTTATATGGAAATTAAACTTTTTGATGTTGTCCGGTGTTGCGTTTCAGTTGATTCTTGCAGTTCAGTGGACGATGTCAGTCAGAGTGGTCGTCTAAATACCTTATTGCCAAAATTACTTGTATGTTCAATTATTGTTTATTAATTTATATTCAAATGCACGTAATGATGCTTTGTGGACTGACATTTATCTGTTCCTATGATATAAAATAAGTGTAAATAAAATAATATATTTGTCATGTCCCAATGAATAAAAAAATAGAGAAAAAGTAGGGATTAATAAGCAAATCAAAATTAATCCAAGTTTAATTTTGATTTGGTTATTTGTTATCTAATAAGTGGCTTACACTGGGTGACGAAACGTCAGAAAATCTAATTTTTCTAGTCATTGGGATATTACAAATATAATATTTTATTTATGACAGTCTACCAAAGACACAATTTATTCGAAATTATCAAGTCAAACCTTGGTAACTATACCTATAAAATAAGTGTGATTCAGTAGGGGAACGATGCTATTGTTACCGGTGCAGTACAGTGTGACTCTTTTTTAATTTGTACTGTTTTTTTGTCTTCATTTGTATCTCTTACAAGAAATTAGTAAACACCAGTAAAAACACAGTCTAGGAGTTTTCTGTATTTCACAACATCCGATCTATGCTGCGTGTATTTTTGTAATGTGAGGACATTTCCTGGTACCGATAGTTTTGTGATGCTTCTATAGTTCTCACATTTTCTCGTATCTCCTTTCTTTGGTATCTTGGTGAGGTGTTCTTATTTCCAGTCTAACGGTGCTTGTTCTTCCTCCCAAATCTTCCTGATTAGAACGTGGAGCATCTTTGCAGTTACTTCTATGTCTGACTTCAGTGCTTCAGCTGGTATATTGTCAGATCCTGCTGCTTCATTTGTCTGATAACCGACCATCCTGATTTCTTCGATCGTTGGTGGAGTGACATCCATGGGGAGGTTTGTGCGTGCTGCTTCGATGTTCGGTGGGTTCAGTGGAGCTGGCCGATTCAAGAGATCCTCGAGATGGTCTACCTGTCTGTTCGTCTGTTCTTGGATCTCAATGATTGACTGGCCTACTTTGTCCTTGACCGATCTCTCCAGTTTACTACATTTTACTGTCAGTTTCTTTGTTGTGTCATGTAGTTGTTACTATTTTCTTCTCTTACATCCTTTTCCGTTGTCGCTACTAGATCTTCCACATATTTCTGCTTGTCAACTATAATGCCTATCTTCAGTCGCTTGTTTGCTTCTGTGTATTCGTCCTGTACCTTGACATTCTCTGCTCTTCTTCGGTTGTTGTTAATTGCTGTCTTCATGTTTTTGATTGCCTGAATCTTGTCAAGAATTTCGATAGATACTAGGTACAGACAGTGAATCACTTAATAAGACTGTGGACATTGATCTACTGAAATAGTTTCAATATGTGTAGCTCAGTCCTAGCTACTGTTATCTCCAAGGTGTTATTTCTGCCCGAGTAGTAGAGTGATTAGGGTTAGCCGAAGTGCAACATAGTATTATTCATTGGATAATAGACTGACATGGAGAATAGAGAATAAACATGTGTAAGAACAATAATTTCGTAACCAGACTAGTGGAACCAAATACACATTCACCATTGTCATTATTTATTTATTTACTTATAGCAGAGTTAGAAAGAGTATGATGTGAAATGCAGTGGGATGACGTTTGTAAAGGACGCTAATGAGGTACGGTAACTTGGATCAATACATTTATGTGCCTTGTCCTACATTGTAGATTACTGACTAACTGTATTTCTGTTCTATATACCAAACTTATTAAGTGAGTTGAACAAGCTACAAATTTGCAGTTTCATAGTTTAAATACCACTACTTTAAACACTAAATTGCTTCTACTTGTATATTGTTTCTAGTACTTAAAAAGTAAGTTGTTTGATATTGTGAATGTGTACAGACGAACTCTTACATAATTCATGAACTATTCCTAAAACAAATTTAATAGACATTCGTATATAAAGAAATAAAACATTATTCCATTCTTGTACATCAATGATCTTATTTAATTATCTGCTTAGTCTGCATAAACATTTAAAAGTTGGTAAAGTTACATTCGAAGGCTTAGTTTCTGTATGGATGTAAAGTCAGAAAATTCACTATAAAACTTAAACAAGTAGTTCTGTTACTTGTTTTTCTTTTAATTTTTTTCTGCCCTATTAACAGGTTACACTACTACGGTCAACATGTAAAGAATGTCACGTTGTTTGATTAACTAAATAACTTAATTGAGTGAAGAATTGGACAAATTGTACATCGTCAGTATATATATATATATGATAACACTGTTTGTTTTTGTTTATAGACATCCTTTTGTTTACTACTAAGCTGCAATGTTACAATTATGCTGTTAGTCTATTATTGTTAAATATATTTTATGGTTTATCATTTGGGTCCTTCGATGAAATTGTATAAGTGATTTCTTGAATGTTCTCCCATTAAGTACAAGTTGATAAATATGTATACGACAGATCACCTGATTGATAAAATCTTGTAGTGAATAAGCGCTTAGTGATTAGAAACTTAGTGGAGTGGGTTTGTTAAAATGGTCATACATGTAACAGTGGATTTCTCAACTATGAAAGCTAATATTCATGCTTCATATGTGTCTCTGCAGCTGGTTATTTTAACGACTTTCAACCAGTGGTGTGTACTGTTAAATCCCATTTCAGCTAAACAGCCAAAGTGGCGTTACTAGACCTTGAATAATACGTGTGATTCATAGTTGATTACTGACATTTGTACTGGCTTGATCGGTTATGTAGTAATCTGTGATCAGTTTATGTAGACGCTTCTTGAATTCGAAGATTGTGTCTAGCTATGTAACCAAAACATGTTGTAAATCAGTACTTATATATCTAAATCTTGTCTCCATATGAGTCAGTGCTCTTGGTAATTTCATCATCAGTGGTGATGTGGTGAAACATCTTGGCAGATTCTTATTTATTCCAGGTTCAATTTTCACTATTATTGATATTTAAGTGTAATTTGTGTTTGTATTTTCACAACCGGATTACTTTTTGATGAAGAAATGTTAATCTTCACTTCGTTTCTCTAGATCAACGTATGCGAAACCCATTCTCGTTTTTGACTTTTTTAATCCCATCATTCAATAACATGATTTCAGTCAATAATTATACATGAGGGTAGTCTGGATATATATTTCGATAGCAGTCATTCTTTAGATTTAATTGGAATCCGATAAGGGGTCACTAAAGTTGTTTAAGTAATGATGGTGCATACAATCCGTTAAAGCCCCCGACCGAGGGTGGTGAGAGCCAACTCTCCCTCTTAAAATGTTCTCACATGGCCACGCAGGTACAGTCACTGCTACTACTACTACTACTACTACTACTACTACTACTACTACTACTACTACTACTACTACTACTACTACTACTACTACTACTACTACTACTACTACTACTACTACTACTACTACTACTACTACTACTACTACTACTACTACTACTACTACTACTACTACTACTACTACTACTACTACTACTACTACTACTACTACTACTACTACTACTACTACTACTACTACTACTACTACTACTACTACTACTACTACTACTACTACTACTACTACTACTACTACTACTACTACTACTACTACTACTACTACTACTACTACTACTACTACTACTACTACTACTACTACTACTACTACTACTACTACTACTACTACTACTACTACTACTACTACTACTACTACTACTACTACTACTACTACTACTACTACTACTACTACTACTACTACTACTACTACTACTACTACTACTACTACTACTACTACTACTACTACTACTACTACTACTACTACTACTACTACTACTACTACTACTACTACTACTACTACTACTACTACTACTACTACTACTACTACTACTACTACTACTACTACTACTACTACTACTACTACTACTACTACTACTACTACTACTACTACTACTACTACTACTACTACTACTACTACTACTACTACTACTACTACTACTACTACTACTACTACTACTACTACTACTACTACTACTACTACTACTACTACTACTACTACTACTACTACTACTACTACTACTACTACTACTACTACTACTACTACTACTACTACTACTACTACTACTACTACTACTACTACTACTACTACTACTACTACTACTACTACTACTACTACTACTACTACTACTACTACTACTACTACTACTACTACTACTACTACTACTACTACTACTACTACTACTACTACTACTACTACTACTACTACTACTACTACTACTACTACTACTACTACACAAATCAAATGATTTCTCAGGCGCATATCTATTTGGTGCTTCCTTGTACCAATAAATAAATTAGTATATTTGTAATATCCCAAGGAGTAAAAAATAAGATTTTCTGACGTTTCGTGACTCAGTGTAAGCCACTTCTTTTTTTATTCTCTGAAGTATTGCCTTACACTGAGTCACGATACGTCAGAAAATCTTATTTTTCTACTCATTGGGATATTTCAAATATATTAATTAATTTATGAAAATCTTTCCAACGCTCAATTTATTCAAAATTATCCTTGTACCAATGTTTATGAGTTTAAATAAGCAATAAAATGTCTTATATATGCGTGTAATAGCGGAATTCTACGTAGCTAATACTGTAACTTTAGAAGTATTTTGTAATATAGCGCAGCATAAGTTGTTTTTTTCCACTTATAATGCTGATCACGTTTGTTCATTATTGTTGTTCTGAAAATCCTGATTGTTGAATGAAATGTTGCTTATAACTTGTAATAATTTTTTATCCTTATTGACTAATCAGTTATAATAGTAATCTGGCTTTTCTGTCTGTATTAAACATAGTTCTTTTTTGTCAGTTAATTTTGTCCGACGTTTACACAGTTAAATGGTCGTTTGGACTAAGCGAGGACAACAACTTTTGTCAACCAAATTATATGTATTTATATTTCAATTCTTTTACTTTCATTTTCGATGTACATTCTATTCATCAAAATGACTTGCTATTATCAGTGTTAATGCTTGCTTTTTATGAAATATATGGTTTATTTCGAGATGCTCTTAGTTTTTATGTAACATGATACTTGCCATGTTGTTATCTTTTTTTATTTGTGATTGTATTAAGAGGATAGATATAATACATTTCTTCATGTTTTCGAATGTTATAAAAGTATTTTCTAATCAAGTAACTGTTTATCTTATGATACTTTAAGTCAAGTTAGTAAAAGTTGCGCGCTTTTCGAACACATACCTAATTTTTTAGTTTTCAGCTTTAATATATGTCTTGAACTAGCCTAACTCCAAAGGGTATGAGTTTCTTCAGTTATACTCCTTTTATCTCTGTTAGCTGCACCTACTGTTATCATAGTAATTGCCCATCATATTGCTATAAGATTATTGCATCATTATTCACATCTGTTGAAATAATTGCATTTTGATCTATCAGATATTAACCTGTTCAGTGTTTAGGACTGCTTGAATTAAAATTATGTCAAAGGGGTTTGCAGAGTTGTAATATCCGGATACTACATTTACTTTGAAAGTCGGGAAAATGCTTCGAAGTTTTCAGTCGTAAAAATTTAAATGTAAAATTACTGACGTCATACTTATGCATAAGATTATTTGTACTCTTCACTTGTTTTTAGGTAATGATATACTGTGAACTCATGCCTTTGGTAGTTTTACTTCAGTAAAAGTCGGCTTTAAATTGATATTCTAGACATTTAAACGTTTGGGAATAATTTAATTGATATAGAATAAACTTTGGAGATTAATTATGGAATAATTCCAAAATACTTGTTTTAAAAACAGGTCGTCTTTGCGTTGAAAGAAATAGTGAGTTACCTTAACCGATTATACATGAATGCATATTGAGGGGTTGATAGTACTGAACCATCGACCTGAATAATATCCTTTACCATTACAGTTTTGAAGTTATCATTGTGCCTCCAATTTATTAACAGATATCGGTAGTAACTGTGATTTTAAGCAGTCAAAAATGGAAGTTTGGAGAAAAAAGTATTCATTATTATAGACCTTTTTTTAGGGGCTAAATGGTAATTTTGATTTAAGTTAATATAGGTTATATGATGATTTGAAGACCTAAATAATGTAATGATTTCCCAGAATTTTCGAATTGTTTTATGTATTGAAGTCAAATCAAATTGTTATGTTTAAAGTGTATTACATATTATATGCTGTAACTAGTAAATACTGTCAACATGCATATTCTCGTAGTAAATTTTTATAAGTTTAGTTATACTCTTACGTTTATGTTTTATCGTGTTATTCTTAGCCTTCGTACCTTAATAGTTTATAAACATGCGTTTTATTATTACTGTCTAAGAAAAAGATAATAATATCTTTTATATAGGATAGATTAAATGTGGCTAGCGATGGAGTCTATGACACTTGTTTCGTCCTATTTGGGACTCGTCATCCGGACGTACTTGCATCAGAATCAATGTTCACTCCGGGACTCGAACCTAGTACGGTTCCGTTCAAACACCATTGGTTGTCGGGGCAATGATCTAGAGTTAAGGCGTTCACGCGCGAGAGTAAATGTCCTGGGTTCGGCTCCAGTATGGTCGAAGAATTCCATTGTACGACGAAACATCTGTTCAGTGCTTGCAGTTTTTTATAGTGGTCTAATTTGGATCGGTCCATAGTTCTAATTAATTTTTAACTTGAATGAACGAACCTGTAAATACTTATTTCTTTACGTAGTTAAGATTTTACACTTTATTTGGCCCACAATATCTAACTAGTCATATGAATCAATATTTTAGGTACAATTTTACGATAATGATTCTGTGATATTGTCCTCACTTGATCTTTTGTAAGCTGATGTGGCTGAGTGTTCAAAATCCTTTGCGATACCGCTGGGTAAAACCAGCAGGATTTTCTTTCCGACCCTACCATAATATCAATAATAAAGTCAGAAGGACTTCACCTGTTATTGGTTGTTGGAAGTTTTTCGTCTCATTGTCTAGTCGATCCGTGCCTTTTGGTGATTCAACTAACCAGGTTAGCTTCTTTAGTTGTCCGAATTATCTCATTTCGTTATTCAATATTTTTAATTTATTTTTTATATACTTTGGTTTCTCGAATAGCCTACAAGTACAATAGTTCTTTTGGTTCATTACATATTAGCTGAAAACGCAATCTATCCCGGTAGAAAACATTTTTACTGCAGTTTTTTTATCATAGTTATCGCCGGAGCTTTACTCACTGAGTATGTTGTAACCATCGAACGAGAATACAGAAGTTTAATGCAGCATAGTAGGCGTGCATGATAAACCTGTCGACCATGCTGTTTATCTCCAATGGAAATGACTGGGATATGTTGCGTATGCTCAGCAACTGGTTTACCTCGACTTACAATGTCGGTTATAGTTTAAATACGTTGGAAATTAATTTTGGATGACTGACACAAATCATCGCATCGCTCCACACAATCGTTGGGTGTTGGACAGTCGTCTTTATAAGTGCAGACTACCTAGTTGGGTCGGAGACATCAGTGGTTGGAGAAGTCGAGTGACATGATTTATAATCAGTCAAAGTGTCTGTGTCTGTCCCCTGCAATTTTGAGCTTCAACATTGTTTTGCACTTTTCATGTATTACTGATCGGATCTTGTTGATAGATTTGGTTTATGACTATAAGTCTTAATGATTCAGTATCGCGTGTACTGGGACTTTTGTTAATCAGTCAGCGGAAGTCGATTTCATATCCGGCTTCTTATTAATTACTTTCAATTTTCTAATTCCTGAAATTTATAATCATTATTTTCATTCTTGAAACTTACATAGTACTCTCGTCAAGGAAAAAAGAAGGCTGATTTTAATTGTGAAAATATTGATGCTCGTCTTAAGAAAGGTAGTTTAATTCAGGTTAGTGAACAAATGTTACTTTTTGATCTCATTGAATATTCTATCCATTGAATTGGTGACATTGGATTTGTTATTCAAAAGTGTTTTTGTATTAAGTGCTTAGAAGTGAACGTAAAATATTGTTAGATGCATTTTATTTTGATGCAAGGTTAGACACTTACATACAGTCATTTTCTTAGGAAATAGTACTCACTTGATAGTCTACCATGATTTTCACCACCCTGATGCTTTGAAACGCTTTCCTTGACTGTATGCAGACTTTCGATAATAGATCAAATGTCTTTTAAGGAATTTGGACATTAGTATTTTCATAGTGATCGTGAGGTTCTATGGCAGTAATTGTCAGTGAAAGGAGTACCAAAGAAGTAAATTAGTCTTATAAAGACTCTCTACTCGAACACAACTGGTCGAGTTAGAGCCTATGGCGAACTGTCATCAGAATTGGTTACCTCAAGTGGTGTTCGTCAGGGCTGTCCACTCTCTCCATTCTTGTTTAACTTTGTCGTTGACATGCTTTTAGAGATAACACTTTCATCATTCTCAATCTCCTGGAGTTGAACTTTTACCTGGGAGGCTCACTTGTTGACTTAGAATACGCCGATGACATAGTTCTATTTGGTGAAGACGCTGACAAAATGCAGGGTCTTCTGACCACTATAAGCAACTATGCAGGCATGTTCGGGATGCTATTTTCCCACTCGAAGTGCAAAATGTTACTTCAGGATTGGGGTTCATCGGCACCTGAACTAATGATAGGGAGTGAAGTAGTTGAGCGTGTTAACAGCTTCACTTATCTTGGGAGTCTCATCAGCCCTTGTGGTCTGGTGTGTGACGAAATCTCAGCACGGATACAGAAGGCTCGTCTAGCTTTTGCCAAATTGCGTCATTTATGGCGTAGGCGAGATATCCGTCTAGCAACAAAAGGACGGGTTTACTGTGCAGGAGTTCGTTCCGACCTACTTTATGGAAGTGAAACATGGCCGATAAGAGTAGAGGATATTCGTAGTCTACTAGTGTTCGATCATAGGTGTCTTTGAAGCATTGCTCGTATATTTTGGAGCCACCAAATAAGTAATGCAGTTGTTCGGAAACGGGTACTAGGTAATGATGGCAAACCAATCGATGAAGTAGTAAAAGTTCATCAGTTTAGATGATTTGGACATGCGTTACGTGTGCCCAACCACCGACTGCCCCGACGTGCAATGTTTTATAGTGTAGGCGTAGGTTGGAAGAAAGCTAGGGGTGGCCAGACCGAAACGTGGCACAAATCCATGAAGCTATTGGCAAGTAAACTGAGCCATGTTGGTAGGTGTAGACTACCTAGTTGGGATCCTCGTGATGATAACAATCGATAGTTGGAGACCTTGAATGACATGGCTCAAAATCGTTTGCAGTGGCGAAGGTG